GATTCATTTCTGGTTTTCTGTTTTCGGTTTATGGCATTGAAACTGACAATCGTTGTTTAAGCGGGAATATTTTGGAAACTAAGATGGCGGCGTTAGAAAATGTCTTAGATAAAGACTTTGTCCGCCGGTTTCTTATCGAACAGAAACATACCGATTAGGAGCCTGTCATTGAAATCAAGGCTCGATATCCGAATTCGGAGGGCTGTAAACTTCATTTGTTTATCTTCTACGTTGAGGATTTTACGTTTTCTTAACAACTGAATGGAGAATAGATGACCAGTTGTCCTAAAACGTTTCGTAAACGTGATCGGTCGTAACGCTTGCGCGCTTGCGTGACTTACAAAGTAAACAAAGGTGATCGGAAGGCGCCTTCTCGATAATCTTCGTTGAAATAACATGCCATGAACTACGCACAGTGTGGAGAAGATCAAAATTAAAGAATATAGTTTGGCACTCTAGTCATTACAGACATATCACGTTTCTTAAAAGGACACACAAACAAGTTGAAATACGTTACAGTGTTCTTTACAAAACAACATGCATACACTCTGAAAGAATTCTTATAGTTTCTCCCGAGATTTTGCACACGGAACGCGATGAACTAGCCCTCCTTTCTACAAATTTGTTTCCATCATTAATTATTTTACGCTGTTTATGGACCACAATGGTTTTGTGCATATAGACCTGATATTTCAACGAAAATTGTCGAGAGGGCGCCTTCAGATCACCTTTGTTAACTTTGTAAATCACGCAAGCGCGAAAGCGTTACGACCGATCACTTTTACGCGACGTTTTAGGACAACTCGGCGTCCATTCTTGGCAAAAAATAAAAGAAAACTTTTTTCGACGGGATATATATGTTTTTTTTTAAGTTTATTTTATAAAAGCAATAAACCGCACTTTCTGTCAATTTATCAGCATGATGCCCCACTCGGAACGTTGGGAAAACACTCGAAAATCTGTCAATCACAAGTAGGAGGCGAGTGATTCACAAAATTCAAAAAACGATAGAAAATGTGGTGTGTTGCTTAATGACTTTCCGCAAAGATGGCGAGAGCAATTGATAAATAAATGTACATGTGGAGTTTCACTACTCTACTTGAGAAAAATAGATTACTTCACTCCCTGTTTCCCACACCAAAAATATTCGAAGAAAAATAATCATCTTACTTCGGTGATTGATAATGTGATAAAGTCTCGAATGTGCCGCTGAATTTATCTGCGGCGCCGTTAGTTTTAAACTTTGTCTCACGATAAGAATTAGAGAGCTCGACCAAAGTTCTCAAAATTGGTAGTAAAGAACTCTAAAGCTCTTATTTTATTTGCTTCAAAGAACAGCTGGCTGCGAGTTAGTTAAGGACAGCCAACACGCACTTGAAATTTTTCGTGACCTTAGTTTCCTCGGCCAAAACAAACTTATTTTCATTATGGATATAACATCTCTTTATACTGTCATTCCCAATGACGAAGGTCTCCGGGCCCTCAAACATTTTTTCGATCATCGCACTGTTAAGGAACCTTGCTCTGAAACACTACTCCGTCTGGCCGAACTAATACTCACACTCAATCGCTTTTCATTCGGTGACAACTACTACATAGGCGTGGCCATGGGTATTAAAATGGGACCCAGCTACGCCAATCTTTTTGTAGGTTTTATCGAACATCAATTTTTTAGTCAATACCACGGCCCAAAACCTGAACTCTACGGCCGTTACGTTGACGATTGGATCGGCGCTACCTCCTCTACCAAAGAGGAGCTCACTCAATTTATAACCGCCGTCATTTCCTTTCATCCGGCTCTTAAATATACCTGGGAAATTTTCGACACTTCTTTGGCTTTTCTAGACATCAAAATTTCAATTGAAGGCAACGTTTTCTGCACCAGTGTTTACTACAAACCTCCAGTTTCACTTAGTTAATTGTTGTATTCATCTTCACATCCATCACATCATCACACGTCAAGAACTCCATACCTTTTTCACAGTTTCTCAGACTTCGTCGTTTATGTAGTGACGACTCTGATTTTTCCGAAAAGTCAGAGGCAATGTGCCAGTTTTTCGATAAACGTGGTTATCCTGTCCCTGTCGTTCAAGCGGGCCACCACCGTGCCCAAAAAATTGATCGACAGTCAACACTACAAACGACTGAGAAGGACAACACCGACCGCATTCCATTTACTCTTACATTTCACCCTCACAACCACACAGTTAAATCTATCATTCTTAAAAATTTTAAATTACTTCAAAACGATTCAGAAACTGGCACTATCTTTTCGCAACCCCCACTTATTTCATTCAAACGTGACAAAAACATAGGCAACTTTTTAGTCAGGAGTTCATTTCAAACCAATGACCAATCTGGAACGTTCAAATGCGCTCGCTCACGATGCAAAACTTGTTCTTTCATAACGCAGAGAAAATATCGGGACCCAAGAGATCCATTAAGATCATTGATCACTTTACGTGTACCTCCGCCAATGTTATTTGCTGCATAACTTGCACTTATTGGAATAAGTTATACATCGGCGAAACAGGAAGACGACTAAGTGACCGATTCCGAGAACAACTTCGCGACGTGGACAGAAATGACGAGGACGCATCCAAACCAGTCGCTAACCACTAGAACAAAAATTTATCTTCTAAATCGGCATCCTTAATCCCCACGGAATCAACGAGCGCTTTTCAGTCAACTAATTTATTCCTGTTTTCTTGTCACCATATTCCCACCAATGGCGTAGCTCCACTTTCTGTATATAAACCCGCACACAACCCACAATTCCTCCAATCGCTCTTACGAAGGGCTAACACTCGAAACGTCAGCTTTTTTACCCTTTACGGTAGCTAATTTACGTTTTCAACTCAGTTGTTAACACTAAATTACCTGCTATACTCTCCTACCGACGCAGCACCACAGTTTCTTTAAAAACTTACCCCTTTATTCATTTGTCTTAAAAATGAAAGCCTTAAGACGAATAACACATTTTGAGGCTGGTAAAGTGCAACTTAACCTTTTATTTATGTCAAATTACTTATTATATGTGGAAATTCTCCCTTTTAGTACATTTACCTACTCATAGAGCCTCACTATCCGATGGATAGGGGCCAAGAGTTTACAGCCGTTGCCTCTCAACGATTAAAAAAGATGCTTGATGTTCTAATATAACACTTGAAATTTTAATTGCTATTAAGGAATCAGGAATAGATTAGGGATAATGATTTTTGAGGAGCCGTTTATTCATTCTAATGATTGGGAGTTTATTCAGGAGGGGGCATATTTGTTGCGGTTAAACATCTATGATTCTTGGGTAAGTCCAAGGTCAAAATAAGGAATCGAAGTTCCCCAATTTAAAAAGGTCTTCAATTTTCGTAAATTTCCTAATGCAATCTCCTTTCAAATTGACCTCAAAATTAGCACAACTGATAAAACAACATTTATAATGTTTTCAAACTGAACTTCATTCAAAAAAGGAATCTAAACCACAGTTGAAAAATGCAATCTGAACCTCCCCAGAAAATTTATAATAAACTGAACTTCATTCAAAAATCTAAACCACAGTTGAAAATGAACCCCCAAAAAAATGCCTCACAGGGCCTGTAACCAAGCTCATGCGTAATCCAAAAGTTCCGACGAGTTAACTCCATGTAAGGCCAGGGATAAGTAGATGCTTGTGAATCTATTAACAACCTCACAATGCAGCCAAAAGCTTAAGGTGTCAAGTTTCAGACCTTGCCTCCAAACTCCTAGTAGGACTCCCTTACCGAGGTGTCTCTCAGTGGAGTGAAGAAATAACTAAGATCCTTGCTATCAAAGTATTTTGATTGTGGTTTTTTATCCTATGACCCCTAAGAGTGCATGAATAGCATCTTATTCATCCTTAAATATATCACCCCTGAAAAAGGTCACAAGAAAAACCAAAATTATCAACAACCATAGAAATTCTTGATTGTCCGCGCGTTGGGAAATGTAGAGATAACAGAATGGAGAATGTGCATCCTGATGTTAGGGTGTTAAGGGTAAATGGTGAGCAATAAGTATGTTTATTATAAATGTAGAGATAACAGAATGGAGAATGTGCATCCTAATGTTAGGGTGTTAAGGGTAAATGGTCTGCAATAAGTATGTTTATTATAAATGTAGAGAGAACAGAATGGAGAATGTGCATCCTGATGTTAAGGTGTTAAGGGTAAATGGTCAGCAATAAGTATGTTTAATAGATATGTTTATTATAAATTAGGGTGTTAAGGGTAGATATAACAGTGTTTATTATAAATGTAGAGATAACAGTATGGAGAATGTGCATCCTGATGTTAGGGTGTTAAGGGTAAATGGTCAGCAATAAGTATGTTTATTATAAATGTAGAGATAACAGTGTGGAGAATGTGCATCCTGATGTTAGGGTGTTAAGGGTAAATGGTCAGCAATAAGTATGTTTATTATAAATGTAGAGATAACAGTGTGGACAATGTGCATCCTGATGTTAGGGTGTTAAGGGTAAATGGTCAGCAATAAGTATGTTTATTACAAATGTAGAGAGAACAGAATGGAGAATGTGCATCCTGATGTTAGGGTGTTAAGGGTAAATGGTCAGCAATAAGTATGTTTATTACAAATCTGGCCATTTACTTCAATACTTTTATTGACTTCTGCAATGAAGAATGATTGCTTCGAACTGAAGGAAAACAATGGACTTACAAAAATAGTAAACAGCAAGGAGTAAGACTATAGACGATTAGCAAAAAATTAAAAAAAAAAAAATACTAGAATCTATTTGTTTTTGATTAAGTGTTACATATTTGCCAAATAATATTTGCATGCATCAGTAAAATGCTTTCTTCCTCATTATAAAAGAGAATCGATTTACAGTTTGTCATTGGTAGATTACCAGGAAAAAGCGTCTTTTCAAATTGTGTTGGCAAAGACAGTCATTGAACACTGTATAGAATACTCCTTATACTCTATATATCATATACATGGGGCTCTATGCATTGAATATTTCCAGTTCACTCCTCCGTATCTTCTGGCTTGCTCTCTTCTCTTGAGTGCTTCAGTTTCTCTGTTAAGATGCCAGGCTTTTTCTTCAAGTCTCCTTTTCTCCACAGTACAATTTCCTACAACATACACAAAAACGAAAACACAAATTAAAGAGAAGACTGACAAAGTGGCTTTAACAATGCCACAACCTACACTACATATTACATTTACATTTCATTGACTAATTACCACCTCTTTCAGTAATTTCAATCTTTAATTCATAGAAAACTTATGAAGTCAATACCACAGTAACACTCGCTGCAAAGCTTACTACCTAGAATTTCTGTTACAGAAGTACAAAGCATCATATTTGTAAGCATCCTCCCTGATAAAAATACCTGAAATTATGCAAGATGCATTTTGCTTATGGAGCAATCACATGCACATGCTGCTGTTTATACCTGCTGTTTGAAGTATCTTCTTTCCTCTTCATCAACAAGGACAAGATTTAAGAAGTACCGCACAGAAAACTTCTTGTTGACATCTTTGAAGGTTGGCGTCAGCTCATAACCTGCCAAGAATAGCCGGATTGGAATGGACTCTCCTGCAAAAAGGAATGCAAACATATGACTGTCACATTAATGACACACTTACATAAAATAGTACATCAAATTATTAATTTAATTACCATTTTCAAAGTTCTTGTAAACCAGTGTTAGGTTCTAAACTCAATTGTTTTCAAAAATGTGATCTGGCAACCCCAAATAATGAAAGTGATCAACAGAAACAAAATTCTGGTTGCCAACATTATCAAAATACTAAACTGCTAAAACACTGCTTCTCTTTGGACAAGACAGTGTGGTTAGCACTTGTTTTTGGAAACTCACCAACATCACAACACTGCAAAACCAAAACATTCTTTCTATTTACAGAGTACATTATTACTTTCCAGTGAGTGGGTAAGACCTTTTGTCTGTTCAAACACAACAGAAAAAAATTATCAAAACAAAACAAACCTCGCACAGGTGCTCCATCCATGATCTCATACTTTGCAATTGTTTCATTTTCATTATAAGTATTGGGACCTGATGAAAAATTACATTACTTTGGTTAAGTAATGTGGATAATATACCATGAAAATCATATTGCAGGTATACATGAAACTGAGGAAAATTATTCAAATACTACTGCTGCAGAAGCCAATTAACTCTAAAGCTACTTTTCAATGGGCCTGACAAACCATAAATTAAGCCAATGTCAATCAAAGTAATTATTGACAATTTTGTAATTGATCATCACAAATAACAGGATCATTCTTTACAATTGTATTCTGTATTGATGGTTCAAAATAACAGGTTTCAGCTGTCAATTAATTAAGGATCAATAAATAATCCAATAAATAAATAATTACATGATTGTACATGTATGAAAATAAGATGGTCAACAGAACCTGTGTGAAAGAGTGCTTTTGTTTTCTATGGCAAAGAGGGCTTGCTCACTCTTGTATGAAAGATGCTAAATCTGTGTCCACAAGCATTCAATTGCTCACCTGTTCCAGTTGTCTCTCTTTTGATAATCGCTAACTCCATGTGTTTGATCTTTATGCGCACAAGCAGGAAGTAGATTTTTCCCACAATCACATCTTTTAAGTGGTATCTAGAGAATTGAAATTTGCTTAATGAGGGGAAATGAAACAGGGTAAACCTGTATGATCTATGAAGTTGCACATCCAAATAAAACTATAATTTCCACATCCTCCTTGCCATTTCAGCATTTTCTGCATAAAACAGTGAAAAATTCCAAATACTACTGATAATCAAAATTAGCCTCTCATCATCTCAATATGCCTAGAGCCAAATTGTTTGATGACCTTGAAACAGTTTTTTCAGTAAAATTCAAGAAAAATTTCATTTTTTTGGGGGTGACTTCAAAGGTAACTTTTAACTTCAAGTTACCCATTCCTGCACTTTGTAAGGATTACAGCTAGCCTATAAATCCAAATCCAGTAATGCACTGAACAGTGACTCTGAAGCATGCTGTTTTCTAGACAAAAATTTCTCAGAATTGCAGTTTCTCTGGTACACCAAGAAATCATGTTATAAATTCAATACTTTATGATACTGTGTTAAGGTTCACTCATTTTATATACATACATTATATGAAAATGCTGCATGTACATACTTTGATTTGTTGTATTCAAACTCTATGTGCAAACAGTCCTCAATGCCAACTTCCATTTTGATGCTGTTGGAAAAAGAAAATAGACCCCATGTTACAAATAATTTCTATTTTAACCATTTAACTCCCAGATGTGACTAGCAAGTAACTTCTTCCCATAATATCCATTAAAAGGTAATGAGAATACTCAAACTTATCATATATTGAAGTTATTATCTTGATCTGACATCAAATTCTTGTAACAAATTTGACATGTAGCAGCTACAGGGAAGGATAATTAATAAGATCTTGGAAGTTAAAGAGTTAAAACACTTTTTAAAACCCCTATCACAAGTTACATTGATCTATACTCAATAAAAACTAAAACTGGTGAACAGTTACAAGGTTAATCTATGTAATCAGGTCTGCGACAGATGTGGAGATAAAAAATTAAATGATTTCTGGAGCATGCTACTCCTGGACTGGGCATTGTGCAAGATTTCCATAAATCATTAAAAAGTAAAAAATAAAACAAACTTTGTATATACCTATTGTTCATTTCAGGAAAACTTGACAAGGTATGGACAGCAAGATCAAGTTCTTTGGATATGTCACTGATTCTTCTGACCACAGACACGCGAAGAAAATATCTGAATGTATTCAATAATAAAAAATACAAGTGACGCTGAGTTTATTTTTTTTCAATTTCTAAAAAATAAAAAACAAATAATTTTTATATAGTGTAGATCTTGTATTAATTCCAAGCTAGGAACACAATATAATGCAATATAAAACACACAATATACAATGCATGTACACACAGTGCATGTAATTACCTTAGTCTGACATTTGCTCCAGTGTATGTCTCATAAGGCTTCTCCACATTGACAAACTCAAAATCATAGGTCTCACTCTGTGTCAATTCACCAGGCCGTGCTAAATCTCTGACCAATGAAGTGAATTCATGGTGATTTCCACGATCATAAAAAAGCTCTGAAATGGAAATGTGACCAGCTGAGCTCACATCCTGTATGAATGTATGCACATGTAACTGGGAATTCTTTTTATCACTTTTGATCCAAAAGAACCTTGTCATGAATTAGGACACAGAGAAAAAAACTACATATAGCTGCAAGTACTACGGTAAGAAGTCTAATGTAAAGCTTGACATTATGTGATGTAGTAGAAGAAGAAACTTAAATAACCATGGTAAAGCCTGACACCTGTATATACTGTGAGCAATATCTGAAATCTATAAAATAAGTAAACCTTTATGTATCAACAGATTGTTGGTGCTCAAATTACATCATTATTCATACAAAAAATTCAAACACAGGTTTACCATAATTTCTGGCCATTTGCCCTCATGGCAGATTTCCTGATTTACTTGACAAACTTTAAGCATTAGATGTTTGTGGTTAATTAACACTCAGATTACCCACTGGCAATTGGCCAAAAATTTAGTCACTACCAAGCAATAAACTAGCAATAAACTTGCAATAACTTTGCAACAAAACTGGCAATAAACCCTTCTTGCAATTACTTGCATGTATACCTTCTTGAGGTAAAAATCTCCCTGTTCCCACCTGACATTAACCCTCTTATCCCTAAGAGTGACTAGCATTTATTTCTTCTTACAGCATCACGGCTGAATCAAACATTAAGGTCCAAAGACTAAAGGAAATGATAAACAACTAAAGAAACTCATGATTATTTGACAAATTCATTTTGTCAGCACCCTAAGAAATGTATAGAGAACAGTACATGGAGAATATGCATGCCGATGTTTGGGTGGAAAAGGTTACATATATGCATGTAAGCTTTTGATGATTGTGTAAATACTTTTAGATGACTAAAATTATCTAAAGGTCTGTAGAGCAATAACTACAAAAAGTATATCTCACCTATTTGTCCAACAAACTCTATCTTTATACCATGATGTTCCAGCTTCTTTCCGGGGACTTTTAAATTGACATTCACCTGTTCAGAAAATCATAAACAAGAATTCATCATCCTCTTTCAACTGCAAAGGGAAATCCTTGCATTCAGAACACCATGAGCAAAACAGCTTACTCAACGCCTGCTGACCTGTCGAGAATCATAATGTTTTTGCAAACATCCCATTCAATAATTTTTCAGAGGAAAAGGAAAAGAAACAGTTGGAAGCAGCATACTTATATGGTTTGAGGTGCTATATTAGAATCAAGCACTTCAATTATCGTAACATTAACTCTGCCAGTAAACTTGTTTTTTTCCTTAAGTTTGTACATCTAGTGCCAAGTTCAACTCCTTCACTATGCCTCACACAAATCCAAGTAAATTGTACAATTAACAGTCCTGCTGCTCTATTTGCTCATTCATTTAGCCTTGTTTAAAGGGTAATGATGCATGTGTTACATGGACACCTACAAAAGGTTAAATCTTGATGTATCTGGACAAACTGACCAGAGTTTTAATTGAGGCAATATTCCTTTGTGTTACTGGTAAGGCCTTGCTTTGCATGAAAATTAATAAAAACTGCCTCTTGCTGTATGGGAATCACTAGCTTTGGAGACTTACACATATGTGAAGTACACACAAAACAAGGGCATACATCAACCCACTCCTCCCCCTTCATAAACTGCCAGCTCAGCCTACTCAATCCCAATGGTCTAACATCTAGACTTTAGCAACTCTCTAAACCACTATGATTTGTTAGAAATAATAGACAAATAATGATAAGATCTTAAGCGCTTATAGAAGAAAGCAATTAAAATACAACACTGCAGACAATCTGGCTTTAGGGGAAAGCATGCACCTTTTAATCACGGTTTAAATAGCATTTTCAATATAGACATACAGTCTAACAACATGCAAATCACATTAGAAAGACGGTGATTTGTCATTTCATCGATTATCAGAGCTTCCATCTTGAGTAAGTCGAACGAAAGAAACGGTTTTTGTGATTTTAGAACACTTGGGATCGTTAAATCCACTTGCCCGCAGGAACTGAGCAGTTTCTGATCATGTCACGATTCACATGTGATTTCAACCACGGCAGCTACAGGTCAGTTCCTGTAGATGGTTCAGATCAACATCATGCTACAACAATAAGCAAATCAGCAGATTGCTGTACAGCTTTTACCTTGCCAGATACGGTTTCCCCGTCATAGTACAAAAACAGTCTCTCTTTTTTCCCGTCTTCGTTCTTCACGTCTACTTGCTTACGGTTTGCGGAGTTAGACAGCTGAATTTCCACTTCGGCAGATTGGCCGAATCCAAAAAAGCTCTGTGAATAAAGAGCGGAATCACAACGGTGAACAATTCAATAAAAGCCGGTGCAAATTTCGGTTCTCACTTTGAGATACATACCATTTTGAAAGTGGAATACTACAAACGTATTGGTGATATCCAAGATGGCTTTCTTCCTCCTAATTAGCCTCGCACTGATACACTGATTCACTGACCAGGGGTGGTAGACACGGGCAGCCTCTACGATGTTCTCCACCCTAGTATCGTTCAGAGTTATATCACATGACGAGGTGGCCGAGTGGTTAAGGCGATGGACTGCTAATCCATTGTGCTCTGCACGCGTGGGTTCGAATCCCATCCTCGTCGCACCGAAGGGTGACTTTTGCCCCTATTTTAAATGACGCTCATAATGAATTTGTTTCTCGTGAGCTGGGAAAAGGATGTGATTTATAGCAAAAAAGAGCCAGTCAAATAGCAAGGATCACCAATGGTTTCAAAGTAGGCCGGATGTTGAATACGAAAGTGGGTCGACAACATATAGTTTGAATAAAGACAATTTGCATAGGTAGCCCAGTGATTTCAACTGCAAATTGCAATAAAGAAACAATTGCTACTTTTTTTCGGAGGCTGACATCAGCAGTCTTCAGGAAATTGTATTTGCTCCAAACTGCACTTGCACAATCATGTGATTACTTATTAATAGCAAGCATCAAAAAATTTTAACACCGCTGTTAACAACTATGATGAGGCAAAGATCGGAGAAATAATGAAGTTCAGTCATGTAAATGTCATCGTGATGAATTTATCATTGCGACCAATTGTAGTGGCAGTGTATATTTCCTTGTCTTTTGTTTTGTGTTTTCAAATTTTCATCTTTTGTTCTTAATCAAACATTTTTTTCCCATTGTTTTTTACAAAAAAGTTCACTACCAGGCCAAACAGTTTTTAATTTTTTATTTATTTATTAGTTTTCTTTTGTACTAAATAAACTCTTTCTGATACTGGGATGGCTCTCCTGCATTGTGTCACCTGAAAACTGCACTCTTCTGAGCCAATCAGTGAGGATTATTTTATTTATTTATTTTTTTACCTTTCGTGTATTAACATGATTTTGTATCAAAGCGCGATAAAATAAAACTGATGACAAAACAATCTTTACTGCAACAAAGAAAATAAATTTAAATTACCTACTTTAATTGTAACAAATATTGCAAAATGAGCCGATGATCTGGAGGAGTAGCGGTGAAGATGACGGGGAAGGAGACTTGGAGTCACAGCAAGCTGTAAGATGTGCTTTACAACACCTAACAGACGACTTGGAGCAAACACCATGAGGCATGGAAGATTTATTTTAATTGTAAAGGACTCCAAACCACAACTCTAAGAACTTTGTTTTGTTCCTTTTTTTGCACTTTTAATGACGCAGACTATTATATCCAAACAATCTAAACAGCAGTTGCCGATCCCATCACAAAAACAATAAATCCTCCTAAGTTATGGGTTTTTCTGGGGTTAACTGTTAGCCATAAAACGGCCAAAAAATTTAGCCGTTAAGCTTTAAAATGTACACATTTTGAATGACAATCTTAAAAAAAGTTAACGGTAAAAAACTTTCTTTTAATCACGAAGTTAAGGTTAGCCGTAAAATGGCCAAAATGTTAAGCGTTAGCCTTAGAAGCTATCACCCCATTAAAACCCTTCTAGTTTTCAAGAGGATTCCCTATCTCAGATGATGCCGCGATAAAGTTGGGTAACCTGACCAAATCTGGCGAAAACAAAAGCAACTAACAAGAGATTTACAACGCGAAAACGCAGCAAAATATTATCCGTAATGAGTGCTTTATTTTTCATACTACTCAATGAAAAAGTCACCATTTTTAGTCACGTGCGTCGTTGTCGTGAGGATGAATACTTAGAGCTAGCATGTCATGCTAGCATGTCTTTGTATAAAAAGTTCACAGACAACCAGTCCTGGAGAATCTGTTGCAGCGTCAAGAAAAAACAAATAACAAATTTTAACCCGTATGTACTCGTATGTGATTGTATGTCACTTGTATGTATCCCTTGTTACGGTATAATCTAACCGACAGAAAAACACTACAATCCTACAAATTCAACTACTTTATTAAACGACGAGTATCTTCTACGGAAGAGAGAGCGACTCCTAAAGGTAGTACAGTACTCATGCTTGATAAACTTACTCAAGCCCTCTACAGTCTATGTCTTAATTAGCTCGCCACTCCAACGTTTCTTGAAATTAGCAATCTTCCACTGTAGCTCTCTCTTACGGTATAGCTTTCTAAACAGTCGGTCACTCCCACAACAGCAACAACAACTTTTACATAACTGAGTCCTTATATACATTCACAAAGTGTTCTGGAACATTCCAGAAGCTTACAAAATAACTATTTACGTTGTATTACGTAATAACTGTGTGACTTGATGAAATGTTCGAGAAATTTCTATGGTGCGAATGTCAGCATGAGACTAAGCAGTCTGGAGATTTCTAGAAGCTTATATTTATATCAACAATTACTCATAACCCCGTATGTAATCGTATGTATCCGTATGTTATTCGCATGTCACTCGTAGTACTCGTGCGGTGTTTTAGTCATTATCTTTTTTTTTTCTTTCCTTCCTACCAGCGTATGTTTTCGGTATTAATGCACGACGCCAGTGGTCTAATCAATAAACCAATGTGGTAATTTAGAGACCTTGAACTTGGCATTGGGATTGACACGCACACATTTGCGGACCTCTTTTTTTAAGAGCTGCGTGAAGTAATTTGAGTCTCTTACATCGTGAATTTGTCGCCTGTTTTTCTTTGAATTTAAGACTTTTCGAGGGTTTTATTCACAGCTAATGTACGATGAAAATTGGTACTCCAAGTACATCTTTATTTACGACATCGATGTGTGTTGTATTAACAGTACATAAAGGGGGAGGGGGAGAATTTATGTTCGTTTGAGCATAGCGGACTAGAAATTAGTTTACCTCAAAGATCCGTTCATTTCTCCAACCACGTGACCAAACCTCGAGGGCTGTGAAACTGCAGAGTGGTGGGACTTGACCCATTGATCTCTCATGAAAGAGCTCTACCAGCTGAACCAACGCGAAATGTTCATGGGATTTGCGCTTGCAGTTCGGGATTGAGTAGAGTAAGAGTTCAGAAGATATATATTTATTTTGGAGAGAGGGAAGAATGTTCGCAGTGATCGGTAGATCAACTAACATCTATTTCTCTCATTATGGCCATGGTTATAATTTATTCGTATTTTTGCAAAACATCACTTCACCGATGTTAAGACAATTAAATTGGCATTTATTAATAATGAATGCCTCAGTTTCATTTCAGCTTCTCGTGCATCCAATGTTTCTTTAACACTTTTTCTCAGACTTTAAAAGACATGAAGACATGATCACTCTTGAAGTTAAAGTAGCATCTGTAATGTTCCTGTTGAGAATGCCTCATTTCTTACATGCATTTTCCCAAGTTGGTAAGTAAATTAGACTTTAAATGCTAGTTAGCTCGGCCTCAGAATCATAAGTAGTATGGTCTGACGGGGAGGAAACTTAAGGACCGTAGTAGACTGGCAAGTGTTCGCTTGACATGTTCGACTTGTAATTTTTTTTCTTCATTTTTTTTCCGAATCGTAATTCATGATCACGTCAGCAGGGCAAAGCAAACATTCATGTTAATTGTAAATGTTGATATCTTGGTTTAAATTAACAACAGTTTTGATGAGTATACATTTGGCTTTTTATTTAGGCTAGCCCTCTTAAAGAATTCGAGATCTATTACTTAAATAAACATCGAACTATTTATATCCTTGATTGCGCCACTTTTTCCACACAAGTTATTACACATAGGAAGCAAAGCTAATATTCAGGGCCCAGTTGTTCGAAGGCTTGTTAGCGCTGACCCAAGATTAAATTGAAATCTGAGTTTCTTCATTCCTTTATTCAAGAGCATTTTTGGGATAATTTCTTGTGTTCTTTTTAGAGCATCAAATAGTCGTATTCTAGTTAAAAAGAATTCTGCTGAGTCTTGTTTTAAAGCTGTCAGATCTGAAATCAGATTTCACACTAACCCTGGAATATCTTAAGCCAGCTTTAAACAACCCGGACCAGCTCTTTATCCGAGTTTTTGTAAATTCATCGCCGCATTTACTCGTTTAAATTTCAGTGTTTTTTTGGCAACAGGAAGTTTTAGAAGTTCGATCCAAGTAAAGCTCAAACGGTTCATACACATTTTTTTTTGTGTAGCGTGTTGAAATTTCAGTGGTAGTCACAAAATTGATGTTTGGAAGTAACTAATGATCAAAATTACAGTTTGAGGTTAATAATTAATGGGCAAGATCAAACTACCACTCACTCAAGAAATTTCCTACGCAATTTGAAGAAAAAATTTTTCATAATGTTCGAATATAAGTGTTTCGTTTGTTATCCCACTATTATGTAATCTTTCCATACCATCGTAACAGAACTTGCAAAATATAAACACCTTATTTATTCGATGTTTAACATGTAATATGCTGTATTACCTCGAATAAGCACCCAAGCTCGAATAAGCTTCCTTCCCCGAATAAGCGCCCATTCTCTGAGCCAAAATTTCAACTTTTGATGAACGCATCCCCCCCAATAAGCACTCTTTAGTTAGCCTTTAACTACAGCGGAGTCAGCACAGAAAAAATTGTTTCTTTGCTGTTTTCTTTCTTCTACATATTTGTATCTCCATGTGCTTGCCGAGTTCCTCTATGTGCTTAATCTGTTGTTTTAATTTTTGTCCTGCTGCTGTGCTCTTGGTAATGCCGTAAACTTCCCTGGCATGACCAGACCATTCTATAGCCTTCGATGACCAATAATGTATAGGATAATAGAGTTATTGGAATGCATTTGAAGAAAACAGTTGATAAGGAATGATAGGTCGGTTAGATTATGACCAACAAGCTTTAACCAATCAGCACCATGAACATGCTTGACTTTGTGAGTTCCAATTACATTTTCCTCATACTTCTTGGCTTATTCCCTGTCGTCTTTTTTAGCAAATAAGAGAGTCTTTCTCTTCTGTTTAAACAAACGAAAGATGTAAAAATTTACTTTACGTCCACGTAGCTAATGTTGTAGTTTTTGTTTTTTTAATTTAAGATAAAGCCAAAATAAAGTTACAACCCGTTGAAATGAATACTTACTGGCACCCCTCTCAATTAAGCGCTCTCCCTCCTCCCTTTTGGCCGAAATTCTAGACTAGACCGAGTGAAATGCGAGCGATGGGCAAAATATCCTGGCATATTACATGTTAAACCATTAATTAAGATGTATCATATGCACGTAAGTGATCTGCTTCTTCATGCATTTATTAACCCCTATTTATTCAGTTTGAACAAAATTTAGTTAAGTCCTACTCCAGAGTATCCGAGAAAATTTACTTCCCTAAAAATCTTCTTTCCGCTTTTTTTTCCGTCTTTTTTTTATCTCAAACAGGCAACGACTGCTCCAGCTTCCCTTCAGTAATCAGTTTCAGTAAACTAGTTACTGATCACGTGCTTGAGGGCCGCGTCATATCAACTATCCACGTGACAAGTGATCAAGAATGTCAAATGAAATGTATCTTGAGTGAAATATGTGACAGCTTCAATCTTGGGCCACAAACTGCCTCCAGACTTTATCCCTGTGAAATACTAGATCAGCGATCGAGCAGAAATGTGATTAAGAGGGAACAGTGGAAATTCCGGGCGGGATGGGTGAGTGGATAATTCTTTGCAGATATTGAGTTGAGTCGTTGCAATTGTTTTATTATCAATTGCAATATTTTTTTTTTTTAATTTGTAGTGCCGGACCTCTCCGTGTCTGAATGGTGGTACATGTTTTGTCGTAAACGATCGACCACTCTGCGTCTGCGCAAAGTTTTGGGAGGGTGCTACTTGCAACGTGCCTCAACATAGTAAGTTCTTACAATTTTTTTGTCAATGAACAAATGATGGTCTCAACAAAAAAAATTATGCTTCCCTTAATGAATCTCATCTGCCTCTGCACACAGGCGATGAGTGATTCCCAAGACTTAACGAGTGATTTAATAATTCTGAGAAGAATGTAAATGATAAAATTGCGCGCTTCTGATTGGCTGAAAACGAGTGCATTCTCATTTAACGCGAGTGCAAAGTTACAACACGAGTGAAAAGTTGTAACACGATTGCAAAATTACAAATAGCCGCGCAAGCTTTCAAAATTTCGTCTTCCTTGACTTTTTGTGATGTTTTTTCATGTACATCATTAAAAAAGTGATGACATAATTTCTCTTGAAATTTGGTATAATAAGCACTTTTTCAAAGGCTAAAAATTGCACTTGCCCTACAGGCTCGTGCAATTTTGTTGTCTTTGAAAATTTTCGTGCTTATCAACACCAAATTGCGCTCGAAATCACATTATAACCCATACTTTACTAATATTATTACAAACAGAAGTTTATGACCTAGACTAGATTATAAAGTCAGGTACCAAATGTTGTAAGAAAAAAAAAGGAATAAGTAAAAAAAACTCTAACCTGTTACTACTCTTCATTCTTTTAAGAAACATCTTGCAGTGAATGGAAGGCTTTAAAACCTTTATCTGTGAGCGGGTTTTATTTCATCTCTCCTGGCTATCAAAGAGGGTTGACACCTTTCTTAGTGTACTGTGACATGACTGACAAAAATGGAGTTGGCGTGACTGTTATCGGTCACGATAGCGAGAAGAGAACCCTTGTAAACGGTTGTGACCCTCATGGATGCTATTCACGGGATGTGCACTATCTAAATGCCAGTCTGCTACAGTTGTCAAGCCTCGCTGCTTTGTCAAGCCATTGTGAACAATTTATCAAATATGAGTGTGTTGATTCCAGCTTGCTTCTTCGGGGCTGGTGGGTGTCACACAATGGTATCAAGATGAATTACTGGGGTGGGGCAGCTCCAGGAAGTGGTAAATGTGCATGCGGAACGAATAAGACTTGTTACGATTCGACAAAGCCGTGCAATTGTAACGCAAATATACCAGACGTAATATTAGAGGACAGCGGCTTGTTAACAGACAAGTCAGCTCTTCCTGTGAGTCAGTTGAGGTTCGGCGACACAGGCGATTCGGGTGAACAAGGATGGCACACTCTCGGAAAGCTCTACTGTTACGGAGTCTCTTAACTAATCAAAAAAGGAAAACATATCTTCCCACGTTCAGATTTTTTAAACAAACTTGAAGCTCCTCAAGAACTGAGACAACATTATGGATTCCAAAGTCTCTACGCACGTGGCTTATATCCATCTTATATGAGCAGCCCGCTGACACGATAATTAATCCCTCGTGTGTGATTTTTCCCATGAATTGTTGTGATGTCAGCCGCCATCAAATCTGACCAATCAGTGCGTATAACAGAAAGACTTAAGCTGAAGGAGTATAACAGCAGCTCTTTCTTACTGCTATTATTTCATTAAGTGAACAGATTCCTTTAGTCTTTTTAGCGATAGATTACAGAGGACGACAATGTGCTGCACCTCCCCCTGTGCGCAACTTTTTGCCTCTTACCACAATTTGACGTCATCTGTTATCTATGACTGTACAGATGTACGGCAACTTGCAATCGGTTTGTTGAAAAATTTACCTATTGCCGTCTTTTCATTTTTCTAAGAATCATCCTGCAGTGAATGGAAGGCTCCTAACTCCTCAGCTCTTAGCGGTGTGTATATTATCGCTCCTGGGCATCAAAGTGGAGTTACACCTTTCTCGGTTTAATGTAACTCGACAGACAAGGATGGAATTAGCGCGACAGTTGGAAGTCATGACAGCGATAAGAAAACCAGTGTTAAAGGGTGTGATGATCTGGGGAGTTATTCACGTGATGTGCACTATCTAAATGCCATGTCTGCTGCAGTTGGGAAGCCTCGCTGCCATGTCAAATTATTGTAAGCATTTTGTTACATATGAGTGTAATGGCTCTAGATTGTTTGGTTAGGGCTGGTGGGTGTCACGTAACCGCACAAAGATGAACTACTCGGGGCATGCGAAATGAATGATACTTGTCACAATTCTGACAAGTCGTGCAATTCTAACGCGAATATAGATGGAAACGAACTAGAGGACAGCTGACAGAGGCTTGTTGACAGACAAGTTGGCTCTTCCTGTGAGTCAGCTGAGATTCGGTGACGCAGGAGAAGGAAATAACCAAGGATGGTACACTCACAGAAAGCTCTTCTGTAGCAGCTGAGTAACACCAACACGAAAATAATTAAAGTTATATTGAACATCAATGTTTTTCTTCATCTGAATTCAATTAGTATTCAGGTACTTCACAGCATCATGATAAAATATACCAAGGGGGTAAAAAAAGGCCAGTGTAGAAGACACGAATTACGTAATAAAGGTTATATGGCTTAAAGAGAAGTAACTGCCAGGATCATAGAAATAAAACCAGGATCTTGTATGGTTAATATCTTTACAACACGAAAGTACCATTAATTTAACTTCTTCCGTTCAGGAATCTCTTCCATACTCGATTTTACCTACTTTTATCAGTTAACAGTTCACTCGCCATAGTTCAATAGCTCTTTTAGAAACGTAGGATTACTTGATGTTTAATGAAACTAAAACAATTGCCTCGATCGAAGCTCTCGGGGTAATAACCATTTGTAACTTTAAATGGGAGAATCGTGTAAAAATATTCTCCATTTGCCACAGTAGTTGAAATTAAAATGTCGCTTTTAGTTTTTTTTTCTTCTTTTAAACTGCGGTGCAGTAAGATTACTTCTGGAAAGCGCACGTCATTTTTTTCACTACAGCCTTTCTTGCTGTTCCTCAGAGGACTCATACTCCGCTATAGGTGTTCATTGGGTATAATTTCCCCAATTTTAATTGAAGTGTAGAGGCGTGTGAACAGGCCGAAATTCAGCTGATAAATGTGATCTGCTATCTAAGAGCCTTTTAAACGATGAATTAACAAATCACGAGGGATTAATATAATGCAAGTCAGTAATCATTGGCCATTCTTCAAGTGACATTATCTTTATAGTTTATTATTTCACATACGGCACTAGAAAGTCTAAGAATTGACACTTGCTAGCTCAGGCTAGGAGGTATTGACTTTTGAGTGGGCGTTAAACCACTACGCACGCTCTAAATTGCTTGCGGTAGATAAAAAGGAAATGATTTTTGTTAATTATCCTTTTGTAAGATTATTAAAATTTGCCTAATGTCATCATAACTATTACAGAAAACACAGCGTTACCTTTATTTTTCCTTTTTAAGTTGACGTCACAACCCAAACCTGCTATTATTCATTTTTCACTATTCCTTTCTAGCACCAGGAAATAACGTCATTCACAGAATGACCACGATAGACGTACTTAATTAATTGAACACGCGTACCGAAAATGTTCCTTCAGAAACAAAAAAACGCTCTAATGTGTTGTCTGTGTTAATTGTTATCTTGATTTCAAACGGTACTTACATACAGCAGTACAGTGAGGATATATATTTGTCGAATGATTTTCAACCCTTGTTTTTACGTTTCGGTTGAGTGATTTCTTCGATGTTAATACTCAGCATGGAAACTTAAGTAAGGACTTCGCTAAAGTACATATTCTAACTTGTTACTATAGTTTCAAATAAATTTACCACTGGTATAAAAAGTATCACCCAAAAAAATCCTCAAAATATGAAATCCTAGTTGAACGCACAAACGAAATTGCCATGGTTACGCTGCATGGCTCCAGAAGATAACATGTACCATATGTTAATTGTCGAAAAAATATACATAGTGATCACGAACTAGAAACATCGGTATTGCAAGGCAAAACATTAAATGTTAATGCTATCACTGGAGTTATTAGTTTACAAACGGGCTGATAGATGGGAGCTGGAAGCTCAAGAAAAAATCTTCGGGTTGTAGCCACTGATTCCGTCAGAGTTAGCTCTGTTCAAACCAATAACAATATCGAAATAAAAGGCACGAACGCGGAAAACCACGGCGAAGTTTTGGAGCCAACAGAATCTCAAAACGAAGACATGGAAGATAGACGTACATCGGGTAAATGCAATGTTAAAACCGTGGCAGTAAGCGAAGGCTTAGAAAAGCGAAAAGAACAAATCGCTACAACGATCGATGATCAACACAATCGAGGAGAAGACTTCGGCGAGGACGAGTCAAGCATGACACTAACTTCATTCATTGAAAAAAATCCGAAACTTGAAGAAGCGTTGAAGAAGACAAGAGATCACTACAAGGGATTGAAAGAAGCGTTCGCTAATGGAATTCTAGCGACAGAAGAGGTAGAAGAACACATAAAAGGCCTTTTCAGTGGTTATACTAACCAGCACAAGCCGGCGAAAGCTGTGTTAACAGATTTCACTGTGCGCCTAGGTCTTCCAAAGCTTGCATACGACATTATCACTGATCGAAGGAATAATTGTCCAGAACTAACAACATGGGATAGAGAAACAAGTACAGAAAAACAAGCTGAGGAGAATGAAGCGTCAGCGAATGCAGAGAAAACGGTATATCATTTTTTTTTTCTCGTCTCTTTTCACATGTAGTGATTCATTTGGCACGTGCAGGTCGTGCGAAGCGTAGCAACGGTATCTCGCTGTTAGACATACTCAGGTAACCACGTCATGTCTCCCGCAGGCAAGGAATGGGGTTCTGACGATTTCCTATGAAACCTTTCCCTTTCCCATGGCCCTCATGGAATAATTTTTTAGTTTTTTTTAACTCTATCACACTCCCAAATTTAAGTTTACGGTTAGATTCAATTTCTTCAAAAAATCCTTCTTTTTGTATCCTATTTCGTTTTGAATTTTTACAAGGTAAATATTTTGTATGAGTGTTGTCAGGAATCATGGATCGGTGAGTGTGTTTTCTAACATATGTAAATTTTTCAAGTGAGACTATAATTTAATTGCACAAGTCTTGTTGGATATGAGATATTTCAGTCAAACTTAACCTCAAAACTTGCAGCACCCTTGTAAAACTTTCTTTTTATTTTCTAGGAATCTGAGAAAAATGACAAGAAGACATCGAACCCGTTAGAATTATTGCAAGATAATATCTGCCTGTTTTTGGGAGCCCTTCTGAATTATTCTGACTTACATGACGAGTTTTGCTTGGAGTGTAATGAAGTCGGTATGGTTCAGCTTTTTGTGGAGATGTCCAAAGAACTCCAAGATTCGATTCCACACAATGTGAAATATGTAGTAAGTACAGTAGTAAAATATAATGTAAATATCATCATTATGAATTAAATAATACTGAATTACAAAAAGCATTTTTCTCGTTAAAAATTACATTAATGAAAACGGAAACTTATATAGGCTTTTGAATACATGTGCAAGTATATTTGTACTTCCGCTATCAAGCCAGAGCGAATAGCAATAAATGTTGATAAATGGGTAATAGGAGGGAGGGTTGGACTGGAACTCACTTGAGAGGGGATCTTGATTAAGAGGGTGTTATGGCTTATTCGGGTTCTTACGATGACACGGAAAAGTTATTGTACCAATTGATTCTTTACGTCTTTCTTTGGATTAGTCACTCTTGTTTAAGAGACCAAAGTAACAGTAGTACGCTCGATTGCCAGCCATTGTTCGGGAGTCCGCGCTTCTCAACCAAAGCTCCTTATCTGACGGATCCGAGAAAGGCAGAGATCAAGCTTATAACAGTAGGTGCCCTGCCTTTATCAACATAATCGAAGCCCTCATTACAGGCTTCGACGGGTTTCGAACCCATGCCTCTTGTTGGGCGCTACTACCAACTGAGCTACGGAACCATACTTTGAGAGCAAGGCACACTTAGTGGTTAAATCGTGCTACAAGGAATCATGTATTTACCAGTGCTTCCATCTTTTTTTAACAGGAACCTAAAACACAACGTCTAAAGAAGTTCACAGTGCGGGGAAAAATGTTGTCCAGGAGCTTGGGGACTCTTCACAATTTCTCGAAACGTGTGCCAACAAGAGCAAACTTTGCTTCTGCCCAGGCCGTGAACTCATTGCTTCTGCCACTTCTTAAAGCTGAAATCACGTTTTACAGTGCTAAGAGCCTACTTATATTGGCGTACCTGATTGATGAACAAAATAACCATTTGATCATGGCGGATGAAGGTATAAAAATTTTTATAAGTAAGCTGTCAGTAAAAGCCCTTTTTCTTTCGCGTGCCACCAAACATTTGAAAGATGATAAATACTATAGCCTCTATTTATAATGGTAATTGCACTGAGAAGAGTGCAATTTGGGCTGAAATCATACGCATGATTTCAAAATCGAACGAGTGCGCAGCGCGAGTTCGATTTGAAATCACATGTATGATTTCAGACTGAACGGCACGAGGTTCAATAACCACTTTATTACATCCATTTTGAAATCACCCAAATACAGGACTTGGTCAGTTCAAATGTTTTATTGATGCAGTACTGAGCCGGTCTGAAATTAAATTTATGTCCATTTTTTTGGGGGAAAAAGTAAGAGTTAAGAAACAAAAGTTGCAAAATTTGCCACATGATAGTCCTTGTCTTTCATTTTCCTGCAATTTGATCGGTTTCTTTAAACAAGCCTTAAAATCTGATTGGTTGTTTTGTTTTTGGTGTAGCCTCCTTGTTGGCTGGGGAAAAGATGCGATTTGAAAAGCGAAAAATGGTGCGATTTGTGAATAAATCGCATCATTTAGAGCCAATCAGATTACAGGAACCACCACTGATTTCAAAATGGATGTAATAAAAAGCAAAATTAGGCTCTCAAACTTGCCTTGGAAATCATATTACTGTTTCTTGAATCTCAAAGTTTCCTTAAACCTCGCCCAATGGAAAATTGTTTTCTCTATCCCGCAGATTTGCCTGTGAATTTTTTTCGCAACAATTAAATGAAGGCGAATGTTTCTGTGCCTAGTCGTTCGATTTCATCAGTCATGTAAATGGATTAATGCATGTCTGAGACAAATTTAAATTTATAATTACCTGGAAGAAATAATTTTGACATTTGGTTTCGGATCGCCTCTGTTATTGAAGTGTAATCCAGCATTCCTACCCCCACCCCCTCCCCTTCCGAACCATCACTTATTCTCCCACCTTTCACTAAAAAAATTGTTTCTTCCGGTTTTATGTCTAATTCCTGAAACAAGTTCGTGCTAAATGAAAATTAAACGAAGTGGCTGTCTAGTATATGATCATTATTTACTTTAAATTTTGCATCTCAACTTTAGCAGTCTCATTTCAGGACCAATCAATTTTCTCATACGATTGCTGAGAAAGGCCATAGAAACAGATTACCATAGATATCTAGGATTTTCTGCCCGAGAACTTGCTGAAGGACTGACGCAAATTGCAATCAACGATAACAACAAGAAAACGGTAACTGTTAGCAGTTGATCATTTATTTTCTTTGATATCGTTGTTTTGGGGATTTTCGTCAACCCTAAGTCGTACATCTTTAACTAGAAGAATTTTCAGTGTTCACCTCTCAGTGGCTTCGTGATGGGAATATTTTCGATTTTTCCTTTGTGGCTACTTCGACATTGGTTTTACCACGCTCAATCGAAAAGTGCTTACGAGTACTTTAGAGGAGTGAGAAATTTTAAGGCAATGCTAAAACGTTTCCAGGCGATCACGTGTGTCATTTAAATGGCCTTGAACTCCTCCTGGTCGCTTTACAAGCAAAAACTCCTTAACCCTTTAACCCCTCATTATGATTTTTCCGATTGAGATCATAAGAATAAAGGAAATGACCACAAAACTAAAAAGCTTTGATTGTTAAACAGATTCTCCTCGCCAACACCTAAGGAAATGTACAGAGAATATTATAAAGAGTATGGGTAATGATGTTTCCCGATGTTAGGGTGTAAAGGGTTTTAAAAAAAATAAAAAAATAATTAAATACCTTAGAGACCAATTGCATTTTCCAGCACCTTGGGAAGAGGAAGAGGTTTTTCCTTGAGTCCTAATTGGCTTCTTTTACACGACTCTTTAAACACGTAATGCTTTCATTCTTTTAATGCTTAAGGTTTTCACTCAGCGGGGTTTGACCAGATCATTCTCTAAGAATCCTTTAACGTGGCCTTGTTCGTGACTGAGATGAACGGGTGTATATGAAAACTTTAAACATTCTATGGATTTCAGCTTCTTCAGACTTTTAAGTATTTATACGATAAATATCACTTTATTGTTAGATTGTTAGATCTGGAGCCATTCCAATTCTAGTCAAGATGCTTGAAAACGCCAAAGATGACGAGGAGAGAGTGAATGCCTGTAACACTTTGTGGACGTTGGCTTTCGACGAGGAAAACAAGAAAGGAATCCAAAAGGACGCGCATGCCTCAGCAGAATTACGGAAACTTCTGACATCGACTAACAATGAAGTGAAAAAAGCTGCTGCTGGCGCATTATGGGAAATCGAAGGGAAAGAAAAACATGCAGAGGATAAACAACAGTCAGTTAAAGAGTCAGGTGAGTATGCGCAGCTTGGGATGACAATTCGACTACAATGATGGTTTTCATAGACTCAGAAATAACCTTGTATAACGAAATTTCTCCCTAATAAAACTAGCTTGCGAGTAGGTCCTCATCATCAGCACTGATGGACGCGCCGCGCCGGCGAGGAGATTTGAGGTTAGCCAGAAGTCTGGCTCTAATATAAAGAGGCGCTTGACCCCTTGCAGACCCACACTCTCGCCGGCTGCGTTGCTCACATTTTATTACGGGTGAAGAAACATTCATGCTGAAGTTCTAATAATGAAGCCTGCTCGCAGGTTATAATTAAACGAAATTTCCCCCTGATTATGTGTGAAATGCTTATGTAATAGAAATAACTGTAGGATCGAAGAGGTGAAATCAGAACACAATTAAGGTATGATATAATTCATTACTGCTGTTATTCTTTAATGTGCTCTCTAGACGCCAAGCACGTAATGATCAGTTACCAATGGGATGTACAAAAACTCGTGATTCAAATCAAAAACAAACTTCAGGCGGACGGCTTCAAGGTTTGGATGGACATCGATGAGATGGGTGGCTCTACTCTAGAAAGTATGGCCAAGGCTGTGGAAAATGCAAGTGTGGTGTTAGTCTGTGTGTCTCAGAAATACAAGGAGAGTCCTAACTGTAGATCAGGTAATGATGAAAACTGCTTCGCAACGTTCGCAGGATCTTTTCATATAGCATCATTGATTATAGAAATCTTAGCATTTTACCGGCTTTTTAGAATTGTGGTTAGCCTGTATTTACAAAACAATTCCTGCAACAGGAATAATATACAATATTATCGGGCGCAAATCCTGCGTGCATTACTCGAAGGTGATTAAGAAAGGATATTCGGAGGTTGAGTAGCCAATCAGAGTACGTCTTCAACGTTTTCCACCATAAAGAGTTTCTAAAGCTGCGGTTTCGAGCCTTAACTCTTTGCTAGAAACGAAAATAGCCCAGACCCATCCGGCCACATGGTAATGTTGTATTTTCTCATGGGTATAGTTTGAATGTGCAACAACGAAAAATTAGATCAGAGGGACAAGAGAGGGAGAGGAAGCAAACGGAAGGAACTCGGTATTACATATATACATAAAATCTTGTTTCCATGCTAACAATGTAAGACCTGACGTCTCGTTAAAAAAGACTTACCCAGCCCTAGTTTGTAGTCTCAGCCCTTTGTCTTCCTCCATTGGTTCCAACTTGGCCAATCCTTTGGAGGTATTTGAACACGTTGAATACATTCTCTAGAGATAACTAGACAATAACTATACTGGAGTTTTTGACGAAGTTGTATTTCGTTTAATAATGTATGTAGAGGCAGAATACACATATCAGCTTCACAAAGACATCATCCCTTTGATGATGGATGGTAAATACAGACCTGATGGTTGGCTCGGCTTCATTGTGGGATCCAAATTCTGGATTGACTTCAGCGAAAAACATAAACTGGACTCTAATGTGAGCAAACTTGTGAAAGAATTGGGGAGCAGGGGAAAAATTGAACTTCAAGAAAATACTGTGAAAGGTATGATTAAACCAAAACTGCTTTACTTGGTCGTTTGAGTTATGATCGTAACCAGGGCTGACTGTCTACCATCTTCACTCGATTCGAAGGCTGAGGAGAGCAAATATGTCTCTAATGTCCTGAAGGCAAATGGCTATACGAAACCTTTCCTCCGTAACTGCCAAAATCAGTTACAACTAGTATCACTCCTGATGAAAGGGAACCAGCGACTGGTTTTGCAGTTATTCCTTGCATTCAGGGTGTTACAGAACCCATCCAGATAATTTTGAATAGCCACAACGTTAAAGTTACTCAAAAACCTTTTCAGACTTTGGGACGCATTTTTGCCCAACCTAACGAAAGAACAACGAACCGTCGCCATTTATTCTATTCCCTACAATGACTGCGATAACGAGTATATCGGACGGACCAAACGTCAGTTCGGTACACGTTTGAAAGAGCATCAAAAAGCGGTTTTCTTTTGCAAACAAGAAAATTCAGCTTTATTCGAGCACACATGCCTAACTAACCATACAATTGGGTGAAGCAAGTCTAAAATTATTACCACTAATCGGCGTTACCACCACAGCACCTTTGTTTGGAGGCCTGGAATATGAAGGCACTAAACAAGAGTGTCGAAACGTTGGGTCTATGAATTGTAACTTCACGGTTACATTCATTAAATCTTCAGACCAGAGTAGCATCAGACGATGTCTGAAGGAACTACTTTTTATGACTACTCGTTATATTTGGTAATTATCCGTCAGATGCCCAGACAATTCCAACTCCTAGAGACGACAACTGATTTACTCTCTTTTCTGTTTTATTTATTTAATTTATTTATTTTTTATGTAGCCACAGTTCTGGATGTTGTTGACGCCTCACCACAGTCTTCTATCAGATCGTGGACGTGTAGTGATGTGAAAACCTGGCTCAAGAATGTTGGACTGAGAGACAGGTGAATAGTACAGTGTTTTTTATTCTTATCCCGATTCCAAAAGCCTTAAGAGATGTTGAGCATTGATACTCTCCCCTGGGAAATGAAATGGAGTGGCATACCCCCAGCTATTACGTCAGCTTTCGACAACTTCCTCCTGAGCTCTTTCCTCTTGGTTCTTTGGAGCTTGGAACGAGGCTGAGGTTTCGCTAATATTTGCTTTTCACTTTTGCCAACTTTTGCTACTGGTGACAAAGGGGCACTATAAAGCAAATCAACGTTTTTAGCTTCTGAAACAATTTGCTTTTTAGGTTGGATTCCAACACTTTAAAAAGGCTGAATGGTCAGATTCTGTTGCGTCTGCAAGATCTTAGAAGAGAGGTAGGGGTTGTGTGTTCCTAAGCAGGCAGAAGAGTGCATATTTTTAATAAAGGCGGGGGCACAAGTCACTGCGAAATGACGGCCCTTCTCCCTTCGCGCTTGACTCTCACATACATACGCTGATTTAAAATACCCTGATCAAAAATTGTGTCCCTATTCTGCGACGTTCGAGCCCGTTTGAAACGATTCAGTTTTAATTTTATGTACCTGGTGCCATTATCACTGTTCTATCACTGTTCTAACGTTGTTAGAGACACCAGGCAACGTTGAAACATGGTAGCCGTGTCTGTTTCGGATCGACCGCCATTTCGTCGTCAAAAAAACTAGTTTTTGAAATTTTCCATTAAAATTATGCGCACTACGCCTTTTTTGGATGGGAATTAACATTTTCTCTGATAAATGTTGCTTTCAGATCATCATTCAGGAGATCAAAGGATTTTGTTTAATCTTGCTTTATTAACTATATGCATTTTGGCCTTTAATATTGATTCTAGAACATTGATTTTCAACATGAACTCCATTTAGTTCTTGTTCATTGCTCATGTTCAGACTTGTCTTGTTCAATGCGCAAGCTCAATGGGTCTGACAAGTCATGTTGTTTTAATTTCAGTGTCCAGAATTCTTCTATTCATCAGTGAGGACAGATTTTAAACTGGACACTGTGTTTGATGTTCTGGAATTTGTAGACGCGTTGGATAAATTAGTGGAGTAGTTTCAGCTTGGACAGCAAACGATACATATTGTGATGTTACGAGCAGTAACCAAGGATAAGAGCACGTTAGACTAGGATTAGGCTCTCAAGCGTTCAGCACGTGCGTCTAGCATGTGCACTGCTGGATGCAGGTTTTTACGCCTGTGACAGCATAAAAGGAACATTTTAAATTCATGATCAATTTTTTCCATCAATTTTTTTCAATAGCAATGTAGAGTTTTTACCGATGATAGATTTGTTTTTTTGGTAATAAGAGTTTTGTTTTTCTACTCTCGTCGACTAGTAAACAAAAAGTAGAAAAGCATAAATAAACTCATTTGAATCTATGTGATGTAACACACACCGGCAGTAACAGAGCAACGACAATGACTGAAAAATTTATATGAACCGCAAGGGTTAGAGGTTTCTATGCTCTTCGTAAATGACACCAGTTTCAAAATTCTAACAAATTCCACTCTTCATAAATATATATCTTCACATATATTTTATATTTTACATGTTTATGTTTCTGAGTGGATTAAGACTCTAAAGTGAACTTTCCTGTTGAACGTTGGATGGTGAAAATGTCGCATTTTCAAACGTTATCAAGACACAACTGACCCGGTCCCGGCTGATGGAGATACCTCATTTCTAGATCTTTCAAAGGGAATTAAACAGAAATTGAGTATCTGGAATAACGTGCGCTTAAATTCTGGGATTCTGAACGGATAAATTATCACGTTCACAAATGAATTGCTAAACTGTAAAAATTTGATAATAAATGTTGTTAATTCAATAAGGTGAAAATTTTGTGTGACTTTCAATGTAAACAAAATATTTAGAATTTGAAAAGGAAGCCAGGTAAAAAGCGATGTTCCCGTTATGAGAGCTAGTGTCTTCGCCAATTTCACTTCTCTTTTGATATGATTCTGGTTGTGAAATGGCATTTTCTGCTTTTTCCAAACAACAAAGTTTGCTACACATATAGCAATCAGAGGGATTCCAGAAATTAAAACAATATAATACAAGGAATTCTCCCTCCCTATTATATTAAGCATCGGTAACACCACTGAAGTAGTAAATATTGCCGCTATGATCCACAGTATACTAATAGCGCAGACGTACACACGACAGTTCAGAGTTCTGTGACGAAGAGGCCAACCGACGGCGAACATTCTCTCCAAGGAAATGACCGCAAGAGTGTCGATGGACGTTGTGCCTGTGAAAACGTCAGCACCGATGGAAATAACGTACCATGTATATCCCTGTGATACAACTGCTTTTATATAAAAAGGGACAGCAAAAATTCCCACCAGCAAATCGGCAACAGCTAAGCTCATGAGAAGAGAGTAAGTACGTTTTTGGCGTCTCTGTTTGAAGAATATCCAGATGGTGAGAACATTTGCTGCAATGATCAAAGTCACCAATACACCAAAACATATATCCCAGAAAGTGTTCCAAGAGTTAAAATCCATTTTGCTGGGCACCGTTTTTCTTTTGACCTGCCATGAAAACAAACGTTTACACTTAAATCTGAACTGAAGAAGCTTGTAGAAAATTTGGGGAGCAAAAATACTTTGGCAAACGAACATTTAGTATTTTTAAACGATACTCTTTTGTGTAATTTAGAATCAAGTTAGAGAAGCATTTTAGATCAGCAATCAAAGAAATCAAACAGTCCTGAAACACGAAACGTTAAGTTGAGTCGGGTAACGGTCCCCGTAGGGCTGAAAGCGTACGGATCAGACTGCTGTGACATGTCTCTTAGCTCTGACGAAGGGGTAATGTTAGAAAAGTCAGCTTTAGAAACATTTTACAGTGAACAATTTACATCATCAACACAGCGGTTAACTGTAAATTATCTTACTATAACATGATAATGTTTACAGCTCAGCAAATCAAATCTTGGAGGAGGTTCGACATAGAAAAAAAAACGGAAGCCCTAGATCTTTATTTCCAGTTATACGATCGGTCATCCAAGGTTAGTGATTGGATCGTTGTTCGTTTCCAATCGTCTAGTTAAGAGATAAGAGTTCAGACCTTTCCCTTTTTTTGTAACATTTAAAACACAATGTGAAAAGAAAACCTGCATGTAATTAAATAAACTTTGTGCTCGAAGAGTCTCTAGTTTTCATTTTTATATCAGAATTTGTTTCAATGTGACAGTGGTAGTTTATTATAATTTTCCATTGGGCTTTTGCTCCGCAAAGTGGAGCGCGGTTGGCGCCAAAAACTGACCTCATTTGCGCGTGCCTTAGTTTCGGCCACTGTGCTCTCAACAGCAATGGATGTTTTTACAATTTTTCTCTAGGAAACACGGAAAGAAGTATGTTGAAGCTATTAACTACAAGGCATCTCTCGAAGTGGAGCTCATTAATCTATTGGGGCCAAAATCACCCTATATGTTCTAAGCAGCAAACGAAATAAACTGCAGTATTGGAGCGAAATGAACATTTGAGGTGGTTGAAACGCTGTACAAGATCCGAGTCAAATGGCAAATTAGAGACGATTTAAAGCGAAGTAAAGCGATTGATAGAGACAGTATAAACAGTTAGGCGGTTCAAACAGTCAAACGATAGATCCGAATAGATAAAATTTACGGTAAAGAACTTACTTGAATGACACAGACAAAGAAAAATTATGCTAAAAAAGGTAACAGAATATCGATGAAAGTAATGTCTGTGAAAACAAAAGAACTCCTTTGATAGCTTTTCCACCCTCATCGCTGAATTGTTTCTTCCAGGGCAAGTCGTTGAATCATCTGCTTCCGGACCAAAATATGACACAAATGAAAACAGTTGCGAGACCGTGATTATCACCTTCTTCCGCGCTTGGTGAAATTCCAAATTCTGCATGCATTCGTTTGAACGATGAAGTGTCATAATTATTATTTGTATGGCTGAAAGTCGGGTCACCTGGAAGAGTCGATTCACTCTGAATTCCACCCATCAAATAATCCTTCTGACTGTGATATATATGTGAAACATCAGAAACGACTCGATCTGTTCTGGAACCTTATCGACGCCTTATCGAGAACTTCACGAGATATTCCACAGCCTGTCGTTGCGTACCATACTGCGAAGTTAAGTTGAGGCCAGTAGCCCATATTCGCCCCGCAAGCCATCCCTGCGCCTGGCCTGCAGAGTGCTGAATTTTCGTTCTTGTAAATATTCTTCTGAATTTTGCATTGAAGTACTAATTTGGGGCAACAAAGAATGAAATGGAACTGCCGGCACCTCCTTCTTCACTACTCGGCTCCGAGTGAGTTCAAGGGGGAAATCTCCAACTCCAACTCCAAGTGCCTTCACGTCATCATCCCTATATCTTCTGTCTGATCTTGAGACACTCGTCTGAACTCCACTGATGTGATCGATTGAAGTATAGTTGAGCTGTTATCTGTCTTTGTAATCAAACAACACTTGCCGGCGCACTGAACTTACTCAGGTCTACATTTGGGTACCGTGCTTTGAAATCATTCTAAGCTTTTCTCCTTGCTTTATCTTCAATTTTACTCGCTTCATCTAATCTTGACCACGCAAATCCCAAACGGGGTCGGAACTCAAAGAGTTAAATATTTCTATTGCTTTTATAATCAAAGTGGTTGTTTTGACAGTTATTGCAAATTTAAATGGTTACACAGTTCGCTTCAAAGAGCCGCTACGCAACGAAAAATATCAACATATCAGACCAGTAAGCTGTTCTTTTTTCAACACTTGATATAATTTAAGTCGTCCTGGTGAAGTCTCCGTAATCAATGCGCAAGGCACTCCAACAAAAAAGAAAATTCCAGAAGGTGATTATTCACTCAAAAGCCTTGGCCAAGCTCTTTAGTATACATGGAGGAGTGACTAGAGTGAATGTTGAAATGATTACTCCGAAAAGAGTATTGGAAATCCACAATCCTCAAAATAAGCATATCCTTCTTGCCAATGACCTGGTTGATCTTCTTGGAATTAAACGACGTTGCAAATCCAAAATGTTTAAATCAATAACCAACCACTTTCTCTGCTGTGATCTTTTAGATAAGAATGAAAAAATATTCAAAGGAAAATTTTCGAGCGTTCTTGGATGCTTCGGGCAACCCTGTGACAGGGTTAGTATTATTCTGAAGTCCCAACTCAACAAAAAATATCACCGAGGAATTACATCTAATCTATGCGAATTTTCGTGAGCGAAGGGAATCAATGGCCTCCCTTTGAGGTTTGAGTCAGAGATAATTTATGGGTGCTCCCTCAATAATCCCACTCTACTCAGAGAAACCGTCGTACCGCTTGAAGACAATACAGCCGATGTTACTCCTGTCACAGCCTTTTTGTGACAAACGGATCTAATTTTCTTTTATTTGCCAAGGCCACGTCGGTAATGAGAAACTTCATTTCAACCTAAATGCATTTGGTATTATTGGATGAATAAGCAGTCTGCTTGGAACGTTTAGGCCGCTTCGCGGTTCCTGGCATACCGCCAACCCGAAGAGTTTACCGCTCCACGGCCTGCCCCTTCAGGACTTGGGTCCCTTTGCGGCCTTCGGCTCAAAAAGCTTAACGCTCCGCGGCCTGCCCCTTCGAGGCTTCGCAAAATTACTTCAGTGGACATTTTTAAATCGGCTGGCTTAGCCGGCTTTTTAGGATTTACATCAACATTTAGCGTTGGGAGCAAAACTCTTGATAAAAAAATCACAAAACATGAAAAAATTATTTCAATCCCTGAGACAAAGCACCTATCAGTCAGCAGGTTGTTTTCAAAGGCGATTGCAAATAATTCTATCTCTGACGTTGAGTTCAACTCAATTTTGCGCGAGATTGAGCAGTATATTTCCTGAAAAAATGGTTGAGAAATAAAGCAAGAAGCTCATCTGAGACTGACGTTAAGGTAATAAGAGAACAGATCAGAGATGATTCCGAAAAAAAATTGGATCACTCGTAAACTTAACGAAATAAGATTCGAGTTTGAAAAGACATGTTTTTACAAAGGATATGCAAATATAAAAATTTCCGACCTAAATAAGAAAACAAATTTGAAAGAAACAGGTTGACGAAAATATAAATTTGAAAAATTTCTGACGCGTCAGGAGCAGTTTGAAGAACATAAATTTGAAAATTTTCTGACGCTCAGAAACAAGCTGTTTCTGATGAGGAAGATAAATTTGAAAATTTTCTGACGCTCAGAAACAAGCTGTTTCTGATGAGGAAGATAAATTTGAAACATCAATGTTTCTGACGCTTCAGAAACAAGTTGAAGAAAATAAATTTGAAACATTTCTAACGCGTCAAAAACAAGAAAATAAATTTAAAACAATGTTTCTGACGTCAGAAGCAGTTTGAAGAAAATAAATTTGAAAATTTTCTTTCGCTCTGAAACAAGCTGTTTCTAATGAAGAAAATGAATTTGAAACATCAATGTTTCTTACGCGTCACAAACAGCTTAAAGAAACTAAATTTGAAAAAAAATTCTGACGCTTCAGAAACTGTTTAATAATATTTCCACCCCTCTTAAGAACTCACGAGTGAGACATTGTGAATATTATTCACCTGCGTAAATTTATGAGTTGCCTTGAAATCAACTTTGTTTTCAAAATGTGTCGGCGTCCCCTTTAATATCTACTAAACTATTGTAGAAAGGTTGAAATGCATAATGTTCTGGATCTGTTCTTGACTCTGGTACAGCAGGGAATTGTTGAAATGAGCTGGTTGTAAAACGAAACTGAGAGAAGCAAATTAAAACGGGCTGAAAAAGTCGTTCGAATAGATTCAGATAATCGAAATGATCTTTAAATTCTTCGTACGGGTTTTATACCTTTTTAACGTGGAAAAACAGCTACTCTAGAGAATTTAAAATCGGAAGAAAGATATGGCCTTTATATGCTGCATGCCCTGTTGCCTTTATACTCCCCCTGTAAATAAGCTCTTTTTCAAGAACAGCCACTGTAAGTAGTTCTAAGGAATAGTAGTGAGACTTCACTTAAAGGGCGAATAGCTTTCTGCTATGGATAGCGGAAGTTGAAAGAAAACATCCATAACAATTGCGAGCTCATTTATATTTTGGCAGTATGCTCAAAGGTTGACAGCTCTATTTACTTTCTGTGGAAGCTGGTCAGGTACAAAAATAGTTCCACCTTCTCAATGTAGTCTGGGAGCGTATGTCAAGAATCAGAGAAAAACTTTGCTAAAACCAGAAACATAAAAACAGAAACTGCGTCTCTAGTTATGTTATGAGACTCTGTAACTTGAATCTATAGCCGCTACAGTACAAACAGTAGGCGCAAAATCCAGCATGGTAACGAGGCTAGGCCTTAAAATAACACAGCTGTCAAGCGTCAGTCGTGCGTGACGGGATCAATCCTGGCAGGCCGCACCCTAATTTCCTAGCGCAAAATTTCGAAGGAAAACACAAGAAACAACCGCTGTAAAAGGAAACAAAGACATGGAAAAGGAAATCTCGAGACTTCTCGAACATGTAGCTTATTCAGGTACGTTCAACCCTGTTGACCTACCATTCTGTTTTTGAGTTCACCGAAAAAGGTTATACGCTTTTAAAACACAGTGAATTATTGACTTGTGTGGTTTTTTGTAACTCGTTTGAGACCGCTTGGTTCCTAAGAGAGTGTCAACCGTGATTGCTAATCGACACACCAACACAGCGGCAGAATGGGTTCAATCGCTCGGTGGATAAGGTGCATTCGTACCATTTCGTTGCTAATGATCATTACAACGTTGCACATGCGCAGACGTCTGACCGCTGTGTCTCCGCTGTGTCTCCGCTGTCGCCGCTCTGTCGAAAACGCCAGCAAACCGTACACTGGCTTTAGGCTTGGTTGCTCAGCGAGAGCGAGGCCAAACAATATGGCGGCTAAAATACGTAAATAATAATTCGTGTGAATCATCGGTGGCTAGTGTTGTCGATGATAGATAATAACCCTATTCTTTATTGACCTAAATTTTGCATAAATTACCAGATCCTGGGAAATTGATGGGCGGATTTTCTCTTGTTCTCGGATGATTTTCAACATAAACTCCATTTAGTTCTTGTTCATTGCTCATGTTCAGATTTGTCATGTACAGTGCGAAAGCTTAGTGGGTCTGACAAGTCATGTTGTTTTAATTTTAGAGTCCAGAATTCTATACACTACCTGAGGAGTGAATTCCATGTTAAATTTCACGCGAAAAACCGATATTGAAATATACGTGACCAATATTTGCTAAAACCATAATAAATGACTCACTGGAGTTCAGGATCAAAATATTTTGTTTACGTTCCTCACGAATGATTATTAAGCAAAATTTAGACAAATAGCTTTCTCTAAATTAGTAAGAATTTATCACGGTCAACATTTACCTACAAAGTTTTTTCAGTACCCGCTTCTACGTTATGCACGTGATCTCATTATGTCTCGTCTGACATGTAATGCGATACTTCGTCTTGTTTGTGCAGATTTCACTTCGTGAGAGCGACTTTCGGTCCGCATGAATTGATTGGAAATTTAAAACATTTGTTTTACAGTACTTCTGTAATTTAAATTCTCCGAAAACTCTTCACTTGCCCTTCGGGCAGGTTAACCACAGAATCCACTAGCCCGATCGCAAAATCCACGAGCCTCGGGCTATCGGACACGACTTAAATATTGATTATCCCTTTAATAATATAAATATCTCCCCTGTCAATTGCTAAGAAATACTCTAGCGGAAAATTTTTTTGGCGGCAAATTGGAGAATGAAGCGCTTTCACTGGCAGCTTTTTGCGTTGTCAACGTTGTCATTTAGTGTGTCCATTGAGAACTTTGGTTTGACGGTTTTAACGCCGTTTTTTCCGTTTTTTTTTTGTTATAAAATGTGTTTCTAAATTCTAAAATGTCTAAAATGCATGTTAACCATTCATGTTTTGCGGTGACCTTGTAAAAATTCTACAGTGTGGCAGCACTAAGAGCAAAACAGCTCTTTTTTTTTCTGCTAGCGAAAAATTTTTTTCGGGCTGTTAAAAATGACTTTCGGGTTGGTAAAAATGACTTTCGGGCTAGTAGATGTTAGTTACAGCTTGCCCTACGGTAAAACTAACTTTCTTTGCACCCTGAAATGGGAAATATATATTTAAAATGAAAACCACTTTTATTTCAACCCCTTGAACCTCTTGGAGAAAGTAGTCCCTCACATTTTACAATCTTCAGCAAAAGAACTGAAAGTACAAAATACAGAGTTATTTAAGTTAAAGATTTGATGGAAAAATTCTTTCGTTCAAAGAATATCTTGGATTTTCCTGCTACCATACAACTTGGCAAAATATGGTGCTTACAATCAACAACTGAAATGCTCAAGCGAAAGGAAAATTTCAAGCGTTCCGGTATTTAAACAAGATCCAAAAAAACCCGGTAAGTGCATTACGGTTATTAAAAACATATTATAACTAAACTAGTAAATTTGTGAAATCAAATTCAATCCCGTGAGCGTGCTTCATATTCCATATTGTGCACACTCATGACGTCAGCAAACAAATCCATTGAGAAAAAAATCTTTCCATCGGGTTGAAAATGTTATGAAACAATTGGTTCATAAGTCAGCTGTGCGTTCATCGAGATATGAGTCACTTGGAAAGTTTGCCTGGAGCAACTCTAACGCATCTTTCGTGCTCTCGATGCTTCTTTGGTTTTCCTCGACAAGAATTGTCGTTTGGCTTTCTTCCCTCCTCACTGACTTTTTGATTTTTTCTTCAATGCGTATTCTCGTACTTTTGAGTGTGGGGGGTTTCCTCAAATTTTCTAAAAATGTTAATTTTAATTAAAAATTTGGCACAGATATTTGCATATTTTTGTAAAATACATTTTATATTCCTCATCCATTGTAGCAATGTCTATGTGCCTGAGTGGATTTAGACTCTAAAGCGAACTTTCCTGGTGAACGTTTGATTGCGAAAATGACCCGGTCCCAGCTGGTGGACATACCGCAATGCTGAATCTTCCAAAGGGAATTACACAGAAATTAAGTATCTGGAATAAAGTGCGCTTAAATTCTGGAATCCTGAACGGATAAATTATCACGTTCACAACTGAATTGCTAAACTGTAAAAATTTGATGATAAATACAGTTAATTCAAAAAGGTGAAAATTTTGTGTGGCTTTCAATTCAAACAAAATATTTAGAATTTGAAAAGGAAGCCAAGTAAAAAGCGATGTTCCTGTTATGAGAACTAGTGTCTTCGCCAATTTCACTTCTCTTTTGATGTGATTCTGGTCGCGAAATGGCGTTTTCTGCTTCTTCCAAATAACAAAGTTTGCTACACATATAGTTATTAGAGGGATTCCAGGAATTAAAACAAGATAATAAAAGAAATACTCCCTCCCTATCATATTAAGTGTCCGTAACACCACTAAAGTAGTAAATATTGCCGCTATGATCCACGGTATGCTAATAGCGCAGATGTAAACACTATAGTTCAGAGTTCTGTGACGAAGAGGCCAACCGACGGCGTACATTCTTTCCAAGGAAATGACCGCAAGAGTGTAGATGGACGTTGTTACTGTTTCTTAAATCTCAAAGTTTCCTTGAACCTCGCCCAATAGAAAATTGTTTTTTCCATCCCGCAGATGATTGCCTGTGAAATTTGTTCGCAACAATTAAATGAAGGCGAATGTTTTTTTCCCTTGTCGTTCGATTTCATCAGTCGTGTAAATGGATTAATGTATGTCTAACACAAATTTAAATTTATTATTACATGGAAAAAATAATTTTTCCATTTGGTTTCGCATCGCCTCTGTTATTGAAGTGTAATCCGGCATTCCTACCCCCACCCCCTCCCCCTCCGAACCATCACTTATTCTCCCACCTTTCACTAAAAAATTGTTTTTTCCGGTTTTATGTCTAACTCCTGAAACAAGTTCGTGCTAAATGAAAATTAAACGAAGTGGCTGTCTAGTATATGATAATTATTTACTTTAAATTTTGCATCTCAACTTTAACAGTCTCATTTCAGAACCAATCAATTTTCTCATACGATTGCTGAGAAAGGCCATAGAAACAGATTACCATAGATATATGGGATTTTCTGCCCGAGAACTTGCTGAAGGACTGAAGCAAATTGCAATCAACGATAACAACAAGAAAACGGTAACTGTTAGCAGTTGATCGTTTATTTTCTTTGATATCGTTATTTTGGGGATTTTCGTCATCAAAATGAGTCGTACATCTTTGAATGGAGGAATTTTCAGTGTTCGCCTCTCAGTGGCTTCGTGATGGGAATATTTTCGATTTTTCCTTTGTGACTACTTGGACGTTGGTTTTACCACGCTCAATCGAAAAGTGCTTATGAGTAGTTTAGAGGAGTGAGAAATTTCAATGCTAAAAAGTTTCCAGGCGATCACGTGTGTCATTTAAATGGCCTTGAACTCCTCCTGGTCGCTTTACAAGCAAAAACTCCTTAACCCTTTAACCTCACACCATGATTTTTCCGATTGAGATCATGAGAATAAAGGAAATGACCACAAAACTAAAAAGCTTTGATTGTTAAAAAAATTATCCTTGCCAGCACCAAAGGAAATGTACAGAGAACATTATGAAGAATATGGGTAATGATGTTGCCCGATGTTAGGGTGTAAAGGGTTTTAAAAAAAATAAAAAAATAATTAAATACCTTAGAGACCAATTGCATTTTTCAGCCCCTTGGGAAGAGGAAGAGGTTTTTCCTTGAGTCCTAATTGGCTTCTTTTACACGACTCTTTAAACATGTAATGCTTTTATTCCCATCGTGTTTGAATAAAGAATCTTACTTACATATTTAAAATATCTTCCTTTATTGTAACTGGCTTTCCTAATTTACTTAGTTTTAGTTTTACGATGTTCAGTCGAAATGGGAAAGGATAAATCAAATTCTGTGAATCTGAAAATCATTGCTAGGTTTTCTTTGATCGGATCTGTAAGTTTTTACTCAGCGGGGTTTGACCAGATCATTCTCTAAGAATCCTTTAACTTGGCCTTGTTGGTGACTGAGATGAGCTGGTGTACATGAAAACTTTAAACATTCCATGGATTTCAGCTTCTTCAGACTTTTAAGTATTGAATATGATAAATATCACTTTATTGTTAGATTGTTAGATCTGGAGCCATTCCAATTCTAGTCAAGATGCTTGAAAACGCCAAAGATGACGAGGAGAGAGTGAATGCCTGTAACACTTTGTGGACGTTGGCGTTCGACGAGAAAAACAAGAAAGAAATAAAAAATAAAAAAGGACGAGCATGCCTCAGCAGAATTACGGAAACTTCTGACATCGACTAACAATGAAGTGAAAAAAGCTGCTGCTGGCGCATTGTGGGAAATCGAAGGGAAAGAAAAACATGCAGAGGATAAACAACAGTCAGTTAAAGAGTCAGGTGAGGATGCGCAGCTTAGGATGACAAGTCCACTACAATGATGGTGTTCATAGACTCAGAAACAACCTTGTATAATGAAATTTCTCCCTAATAAAACTAGCCTGCGAGGAGGTCCTCATTATCAGCACTGATGGACGCGCCGCGCCGGCGAGGGGATTTGAGGTTAGCCAGAAGTCTGGCTCTAATATAAAGAGGCGCTTGACCCCTCGCAGACCCACACCCTCACCGGCTGCGTTGCTCACATTTTATTAAGGGTGAAGAAACATTCATGCTGAAGTTCTAATAATGAAGCCTACTCGCAGGCTATAATTAAACGAAGTTTCTCCCTGATTATGTGTGAAATGCTTATGTAATAGAAATAACTGTAGGATCGAAGAGGTGAAATCAGAATACAATTAAGGTGTGATATAATTTATTATTATTATTCTTTAATGTGCTCTCCAGATGCCAAGCATGTAATGATCAGTTACCAATGGGATGTACAAAAACTCGTCATTCAGATCAAAAACAAACTTCAGGCGGACGGCTTCAAGGTTTGGATGGACATCGATGAGATGGGTGGCTCCACTCTAGAAAGTATGGCCAAGGCTGTGGAAAATGCAAGTGTGGTGTTAGTCTGTGTGTCTCAGAAATACAAGGAGAGTCCTAACTGTAGATCAGGTAATGATGAAAACTGCTTCGCAACGTTCGCAGGATCTTTTCATATAGCATCATTGATTATAGAAATCTTAGCATTTTACCGGCTTTTTAGAATTGTGGTTAGCCTGTATTTACAAAACAATTCCTGCAATAATTACAATATTATCGGGCGCAAATCCTGCGTGCATTACTCGAAGGTGATTAAGAAAGGATATTCGGAGGTTGAGTAGCCAATCAGAGTACGTCTTCAACGTTTTCCACCATAAAGAGTTTCTAAAGCTGCGGTTTCGAGCCTTAACTCTTTGTTAGAAACGAAAATAGCCCAGACCCATCCGGCCACATGGCAATGTTGTATTTTCTCATGGGTATAGTTTGAATGTGCAACAACGCAGAAATTAGATCAGAGGGACAAGAGAGCGAAAGGAAGCTAACGGAAGGAACTCGGTATTACATTTATAAGTTTGAGCTGATTTCAATATTCGAAGCTGAATGCGAGTCTTCAAAAAAATTCGTAGAGGATTTTTTAGATAGTCAAAATGATGAGAGGAAGTTGGGAAATGCGAAGTGGATGCACTACTCCCCTTGAATACTCCTTGCCGGAATTTGACTGACCTAGGGCATTAAATAAATCTGGAGTTCCAAGGATAGAGAAAAGGGTGCAATGCAGCATAGAAAATCTTGTTTCCATGCTAACAATGTAAGACCTGACGTCTCGTTAAAAAAGACTTACCCAGCCCTAGTTTGTAGTCTCAGCCCTTTGTCTTCCTCCATTGGTTCCAACTCGGCCAATCCTTTGGAGGTATTTGAACACGTTGAATACATTCTCTAGAGATAACTAGACAATAATTATACTGGAGTTTTTGACGAAGTTGTATTTCGTTTAATAATGTATGTAGAGGCAGAGTACACATATCAGCTTCACAAAGACATCATCCCTTTGATGATGGATGGTAAATACAGACCTGATGGTTGGCTCGGCTTCATTGTGGGATCCAAATTCTGGATTGACTTCAGCGAAAAACATAAACTGGACTCTAATGTGAGCAAACTTGTGAAAGAATTGGGGAGCAGGGGAAAAATTGAACTTCAAGAAAATACTGTGAAAGGTATGATTAAACCAAAACTGCTTTACTTGGTCGTTTGAGTTATGATCGTAACCAGGGCTGACTGTCTACCATCTTCACTCGATTCGAAGGCTGAGGAGAGCAAATATGTCTCTAATGTCCTGAAGGCGAATGGCTATACGAAACCTTTTCTCCGTAACTGCCAAAAATCAGTTACAACTAGTAGCACTCCTGATGAAAGGGAATCAGCGACTGATTTTGTAGTTATTCCTTGCATTCAGGGTGTTACGGAACCCATCCAGATAATTTTGAATAGCCACAACGTTAAAGTTACTCAAAAACCTTTTCAGAATTTGGGGCACATTTTTGCCAAACCTAACGAAAGAACAACGAACCGTCGCCATTTATTCTATTCCCTACAATGACTGCGATAACGAGTATATCGGACGGACCAAACGTCAGTTCGGTACACGTTTGAAAGAGCATCAAAAAGCGGTTTTCTTTTGCAAACAAGAAAATTCAGCTTTATTCGAGCACACATGCCTAACTAACCCTACAATTGGGTGAAGCAAGTCTAAAATTATTACCACTAATCGGCGTTACCTCCACAGCACCTTTGTTGGGAGGCCTGTAATATGAAGGCACTAGACAAGAGTGTCGAAACGTTGGGTCTATGAATTGTAACTTCACGGTTACATTCATTAAATCTTCAGACCAGAGTAGCATCAGACTATGTCTGAAGGAACTACTTTTTATGATTACTCGTTATATTTGGAAATTATCCGTCAGATGCCCAGACAATTCCAACTCCTAGAGACGACAACTGATTTACTCTCTTTTCTGTTTTATTTATTTATTTTTTATGTAGCCACAGTTCTGGATGTTGTTGACGCCTCACCACAGTCTACTATCAGATCGTGGACGTGTAGTGATGTGAAAACCTGGCTCAAGAATGTTGGACTGAGAGACAGGTGAATAGTACAGTGTTTTTTATTCTTATCCCGATTCCAAAAGCGTTAAGAGATGTTGAGCATTGTTACTCTCCCCTGGGAAATGAAATGGAGTGGCATACCCTCAGCTATTACGTCAGCTTTCGACAACTTCCTCCTGAGCTCTTTCCTCTTAGTTCTTTGGAGCTTGGAACGAGGCTGAGGTTTCGCTAATATTTGCTTTTCACTTTTGCCAACTTTTGCTACTGGTGACAAAGGGGCACTATAAAGCAAATCAACGTTTTTAGCTTCTGAAACAATTTGCTTTTTAGGTTGGATTCCAACACTTTAAAAAGGTTAAATGGTCAAATTTTGTTGCGTCTGCAAGATCTTAGAAGAGAGGTAGGGGTTATGTGTTCCTAAGCAGGCAGAAGAGTGCATATTTTTAATAAAGGCGGGGGCACAAGTCACTGCTAAATGACGGCCCTTCTCCCTTCGCGCGTGACTCTCACATACATACGCTGATTTAAAATACCCTGATCAAAAATTGTGTCTCTATTCTGCGACGTTCGAGCCCGTTTGAAACGATTCAGTTTTAATTTTATGTACCTGGTGCCATTGTCGCTGTTCTATCACTGTTCCAACGTTGTTAGAGACACCAGGCGGATCGACCGCCATTTCGTCGTCAAAAAACTAGTTTTTGAAATTTTCCATTAAAATTATGCGCACTACGCCTTTTTTGGATGGGAATTAACATTTTCTCTGATAAATGTTACTTTCAGATCATCATTCAGGAGATCAAAGGATTTTGTTTAATCTTGCTTTATTAACTATATGCATTTTTGCCCTTAATATTGATTCTAGAACATTGATTTTCAACATGAACTCCATTTAGTTCTTGTTCATTGCTCATGTTCAGACTTGTCTTGTTCAGTGCACAAGCTCAATGGGTCTGATAAGTCATGTTGTTTTAATTTCAGTGTCCAGAATTCTTCTATTCATCAGTGAGGACAGATTTTAAACTGGACACTGTGTTTGATGTTCTGGAATTTGTAGACGCGTTGGATAAATTAGTGGAGTAGTTTCAGCTTGGACAGCAAACGATACATATTGTGATGTTACGAGCAGTAACCTAGGATAAGAGCTCGTTAGACTAGGATTAGGCTCTCAAGCGTTCAGCACGTGCGTCTAGCATGTGCACTGCTGGACGCAGGTTTTCACGCCTGTGACAGCATAAAAGGAACATTTTGAATTCATGATCAATTTTTTCCATCAATTTTGTTCAATAGCAATGTAGAGTTTTTACCGATGATAGATTTGTTTTTTTGGTAATAAGAGTTTTGTTTTTCTACTCTCGTCGACTAGTAAACAAAAAGTAGAAAAGCATAAATATACTCATTTGAATCTATGTGATGTAACACACACCGGCAGTAACAGAGCAACGACAATGACTGAAAATTATATGAACCGCAAGGGTTAGAGGTTTCTATGCTCTTCGTAAATGACACCAGTTTCAAAATTCTAACAAATTCCACTCTTCATAAATATATATCTTCACATATATTTTATATTTTACATGTTTATGTTTCTGAGTGGATTAAGACACTAAAGTGAACTTTCCTGTTGAACGTTGGATGGTGAAAATGTCGCATTTTCAAACGTTATCAAGACACAATTATATATTGAACCGGTCCCGGCTGATGGAGATACCTCATTTCTAGATCTTTCAAAGGGAATTACACAGAACTTGAGTATCTGGAATAACGTGCGCTTAAATTCTGGGATTCTGAACGGATAAATTATCACGTTCACAAATGAATTGCTAAACTGTAAAAATTTGATAATAAATGTTGTTAATTCAATAAGGTGAAAATTTTGTGTGACTTTCAATGCAAACAAAATATTTAGAATTTGAAAAGGAAGCCAGGTAAAAAGCGATGTTCCCGTTATGAGAGCTAGTGTCTTCGCCAATTTCACTTCTCTTTTGATATGATTCTGGTTGTGAAATGGCATTTTCTGCTTCTTCCAAATAACAAAGTTTGCTACACATATAGCTATCAGAGGGATTCCAGAAATTAAAACAATATGATACAAGGAATTCTCCCTCCCTATTATATTAAGCATCGGTAACACCACTGAAGTAGTAAATATTGCCGCTATGATCCACGGTATACTAATAGCGCAGACGTACACACGACAGTTCAGAGTTCTGTGACGAACAGGCCAACTGACGGCGAACATTCTCTCCAAGGAAATGACCGCAAGAGTGTAGATGGACGTTGTGCCAGTGAAAACGTCAGCACCGATGGAAATTACGTACCATGTATATCCCTGTGATACAACTGCTTTTATATAAAAAGGGACAGCAAAAATCCCCACCAGAAATCGGCAACAGCTAAGCTCATGAGAAGAGAGTAAGTGCGTTTTTGGCGTCTCTGTTTGAAGAATATCCAGATGGTGAGAACATTCCCCACAATGATCAAAGTCACCAATACACCAAAACATATATCCCAGAAAGTGTTCCAAGAGTTAAAATCCATTTTGCTGGGCACCGTTTTTCTTTTGACCTGCCATGAAAACAAACGTTTACACTTAAATCTGAACTGAAGAAGCTTGTAGAAAATTTGGGGAGCAAAAAAAACTTTAGCAAACGAACATTTAGTATTTTTAAACGATACTCTTTTGTGTAATTTAGAATCAAGTTAGAGAAGCATTTTAGATCAGCAATCAAAGAAATCAAACAGTCCTGAAACACGAAACGTTAAGTTGAGTCGGGTGACGGTCCCCGTAGGGCTGAAAGCGTACGGATCAGACTGCTGTGACATGTCTCCTAGCTCTGACGAAGGGGTAATGTTAGAAAGGTCAGCTTTAGGAACTTTTTACAGTGAACAATTTACATCATCAACTCAGCGGTTAACTGTAAATTATCTTACTAGAAGATGATAATGTTTACAGCTCAGCAAATCAAATCTTGGAGGAGGTTCGACGTAGAAAAACATCGGAAGCCCTAGATCTTTATTTCCAGTTATACGATCGGTCATTTAAAGGTTAGTGATTGGATCGTTGTTCGTTTCTAATCGCCTAGTTAATAGATAAGAGTTCAGACCTTTTTGCCTTTTTTTGTAACATTTAAAACACAATGTGAAAAGAAAACCTGCATGTAATTAAATAAACTTTGTGCTCGAAGAGTCTCTAGTTTTCATTTTTACATCAGAATTTGTTTCAATGTGACAGCGGTAGTTTATTATAATTTTCCATTGGGCTTTTGCTCCGGAAAGTGGAGCGCGGTTGGCGCCAAAAACTGACCTTTGCGCGTGCCTTAGTTTAGGCCGCTGTGTTCCCAACAGCAATGGATGCTTTTGCACTTTTTCTTCAGGAAACACGAAAAGAAGTACGTTGAAGCTGTTAACTACAAGCCTTCTCTCGAAGTGGAGCTCATTAATCTATTGAGACCAAAATCACTCGTACATGTTCTAAGCAGCAAACGAAATAAACTGCAGTATTGGAGCGAAATGAACATTTGAGGTGGTTGAAACGTGTTATGAGATCTGAGTCAAATGGCAAATTAAAGACGATTTTAAGCGAAGTAAAGCGATTGATAGAGACAGTATAAACAGTTAGGCGGTTCAAACAGTCAAACGATAGATCCGAATAGATAAAATTTACGGTAAAGAACTTACATGAATGACACATGCAAAGGAAAATTATGCTAAAAAGGTAACAGAATATCGATAAAAGTAATGTCCGTGAAAACAAAAGAACTCCTTTGATAGCTTTTCCACCCTCATCGCTGAATTGTTTCTTCCAGGCAAGTCGTTGAATTATCTGCTTCCGGACCAACATATGACACATAGATGAAAACAGTTGCGAGACCGTGATTATCACCTTTGAATCGGAATTCCGCGCTTGGTGAAATTCCAAATTCTGTATACATTCGTTTGAACGATGACGTGTCATAAATATTATATGTATGGCTGAAAGTCGGGTAACCTGGAAGAGATGATTCACTCTGAATTCCACCCATTAAAGAATCCTTCTGACTGTGATGTATATGTGAAATATCAGAAACGACTCGATCTGTTCTGGAACCATATCGAGATCTTCACGAGATATTCCACAGCCTGTCATTGCTTACCATACTGCGAAGTTAAGTTGAGGCCAGTAGCTCATATTCGCCCCGCAAGCCATCTCTGCGCCTGGCCTGTAGAATGCTGAATTTTCGTCCTTATAAATATTCTTCTGAATTTTGCATTGAAGTATTGATTTGGGGCAACAAAGATTTTAACCTCCTCGTTGAAGCGACTTGTTGCATTCGCATGAAATGGAACTGCCGGCACCTCCTTCTTTACTACTCGGCTCCGAGTGAGTTCAAGGGGGAAATCTCCAACTCCAAGTGCCTTCTTCACGTCATCATCCCTATATCTTCTGTCTGATCTTGAGACACTCGTCTGAACTCCACTGATGTGATCGATTGAAGTATAATTGAGCTGTTATCAGTCTTCGTAATCAAACAACACTTGCCGGCGCACTGAACTTACTCAGGTCTACATTTGGGTACCGTGCTTTGAAATCATTCTAAGCTTTTCTCCTTGCTTTATCTTCAATTTCACTCGCTTCATCTAATCTTGACTACGCAAACCCCAAACGGGGTCGGAACTCAAAGAGTTAAATATTTCTATTGCTTTTATAATCAAAATGGTTGTTTTGACAGTTATTGCAAATTTAAATGGTTACACAGTTCGCTTCAAAGAGCCGCTGCGCAACGAAAAATATCAACATATCAGACCAGTAAGCTGTTCTTTTTTCAACACTTGATATAATTTAAGTCGTCCTGGTGAAGTCTCCGTAATCAATGCGCAAGGCACTCCAACAAAAAAGAAAATTCCTGAACGTAATTATTCACTCAAAAGCCTTGGCCAAGCTCTTTAAGATACATCGAGGAGTGACTAGAGTGAAGGTTGAGATGATTACTCCGAAAGGAGTATTGGAAATCCACAATCCTCAAAATAAGCACATCCTGGCAATGATCTGGCTGATCTTCTTGGAATCAAACGACGTTGCAAATCCAAAAGGTTTAAATCAATAACCAACCACTTTCTCTGCTGTCATCGTTTGGATAAGAATGAAAAAATATTCAAAGGAAAACCCTCGAGCGTTCTTGGATGCTTCGGGCAACTCTGTGACAGGGTTAGTATTATTCTGAAGTCCCAACTCAACGAAAAATATCACCGAGGTATTACATCTAATCTATGCGAATTTTCGTGACTGAAGGGAATCAATGGCCTCCATTTGAGGTTTGAGTTAGAGATAATTTATGGGTGCTCCCTCAATAATCCCACTCCACTCAGAGAAACCGCCGTACCGCTTGAAGACAATATAGACGATGTTTTTCCTGTCACAGCCTTTGTGTGACAAACGGATCTAATTTTCTTTTATTTGCCAAGGCCACATCGGTAATGAGAAACTTTATTTCAAACTAAATTCATTTGGTATTATTGGATGAATAAGCGGTCTGCTTGGAACGTTTAGGCAGCTTCGCGGTTCCTAGCATACCGCCAACCCGAAGAGCCTACCGCTCCACGGCCTGCCCATTCAGGACTTGGGTTCCTTTGCGCCCCTCGGCTCAAAAAGCTTAACGCTCCGCAGCCTGCCCCTTCGGGGCTTCGCAAAATTACCTCAGCGGACATTTTTAAATCGGCTGGCTTAGCCGGCTTTTTGGGATTTACATCAACATTTAGTGTTGGGAGCAAAACTCTCGATAAAAAAATCACAAAACATGAAAAACTATTTCAATCCCTGAGACAGAACACCTGTCAATCAGCAGGTTGTTTTCAAAGGCGCTTGCAAAATAATTCTATCTCTGACGTTGAGTTCGACTCAATTTTGTGCGAGATTGAGCAGCATTATTTCCTGAAAAAATGGTTGAGAAATAAAGCAAGAAGCTCATCTGAGACTGACGTTGAGGTAATAAGAGAACAGATCAGAGACGATTACCGAAAAAAACTTGGATCACTCGTAAACATAACGAAATAAGATTTGAGTTTGAAAAGACATTTTTTTACAAAGGATATGCAAATATAAAAAAAAAGAACTAAACTTGTCTGTTGCAGAAACAAATTAAAGAAAAGAAATTTGAAAAATTTCCGACCGAAATAAGAAAACAAAATTGAAAGAAACAGGTTGACGAAAATATAAATTTAAAAAATTTCTGACGCGTCAGGAGCAGTTTGAAGAACATAAATTTGAAAATTTTCTGACGCTCAGAAACAAGCTGTTTCTGATGAGGAAGATAAATTTGAAACATCAATGTTTCTGACGCTTCAGAAACAAGTTGAAGAAAATAAATATGAAAAATTTCTAACGCTTCAAAAACAAAAAAATAAATTTAAAACAATGTTTCTGACGTCAGAAGCAGTTTGAAGAAAATAGATTTGAAAATTTTCTTTCGCTCTGAAACAAACTGTTTCTAAGGAAGAAAATGAATTTGAAACATCAATGTTTCTGAAGCGTCACAAACAGCTTAAAGAAACTAAATTTGAAAAAAAAATTCGGATACTTCAGAAACTGTTTAATAATATTCCCACCCCTCTTAAGAACTCACGAGTGAGACATTGTGAATATTATTCACCTGCGTAAATTTATGAGTTGCCTTGAAATCAACTTTGTTTTCAAAATGTGTCGGCGTCCCCCTTTAATATCTACTAAACTATTGTAGAAAGGTTGGAATGCATAATGTTCTGGATGTATTCTTGACTCTGGTGTAGCAGGGAATTGTTGAAATGAGCTGGTTGCAAAACGAAACTGAGAGAAGCAAATTAAAACGGGCTGAAAAAGTCGTTCGCATAGATTCAGATAATCGGAACGATCTTTAAATTCTTCGTACGGGTTTTATATCTTTTTTAACGTGGAAAAACAGCTACTCTAGAGAATTTAAAATCGGAAGAAAGGTATGGTCTTTATATGCTGCATGCCCTGTTGCTTTTATATCTCACCTGTAAACAAGCTCTTCTTCAAGAACAGCCACTGTAAGTAGTTTTGAAGAATAGTAGTGGGACTTCACTTAAAGGGCGAATAGCTTTCTGCCATGGATAGCGGAAGTAGAAGAAGTAGAAGAAAACTGTCGCCGCTGTGTCGAAAACGCCAGCAAACTGTACACACAGGCTTTAGGCTTGGTTGCTCAGCGAGAGCGAAGCCAAACAATATGGCGGCTACAATACGTAAATAATAATTCCTGTGAATCATCGGTGGCTAGTGATAGATAATAACCCTATTTTTTTATTGACCTAAATTTTGCATAAATTACCAGATCCTGGAAAATTGATAGGCGGATTTTCTCTTGTTCTTGGATGATTTTCGACATAAACTCCATTTAGTTCTTGTTCATTGCTCATGTTCAGATTTGTCATGTACAGTGCGAAAGCTCAGTGGGTCTGACAAGTCATGTTGTTTTAATTTCAGAGTCCAGAATTCTATACACTGCCTGAGGAGTGAATTCCACGTTAAATTTCACGCGAAAAACCGATATTGAAACGTACGTGACCAATGTCTGCTAAAACCATAATAAATTACTCACTGGAGTTCAGGATCAAAATATTTTGTTTACGTTCCTCACAGATGATTATGAAGCAAAATTTAGACAAATAGCTTTCTCTAAATTAGTAAGAATTTATCACAGTCAACATTTACCTACAAAGTTTTTTTCAGTACCTGCTTCTACGTTATGCACGTGATCTCATTATGTCTCGTCTGACATGTAATGCGACACTTCGTCTTGTTTGTGCAGATTTCACTTCGTGAGAGCGACTTTCGGTCCGCATGAATTGATTGGAAATTTAAAACATTTGTTTTACAGTACTTCTGTTATTTAAATTCTCCGAAAACTCTTCACTTGCCCTTCGGGCAGGTTAACCACAGAATCCACTAGCCTGATCGCAAATCCACGAGCCTCGGGCTATCGGACACGACTTTTAGTGTGTCCATTGAGAACTTTGGTTTCACGGTTTCAACGCCGTTTTTTCCGTTTTTATTTTTTTGTTATAAAATGTGTTTCTAAATTCTAAAAAGTCTAAAATGCATGTTAACCATTCATCTTTTGCGGTGACCTGGTGAAAATTCTACAGTGTGGCAGCACTAAGAGCAAAACAGCTCTTTTTTTCTGCTAGCGAAAAATTCTTTTCGGGCTGGAAAAAATGACTTTCGGGCTAGTAGATGTTAGTTACAGCTTGCCCTACGGTAAAACTGACTTTCTTTGCACCCTGATATGGGAAATAAGATATATCTAGAATGAAAACCACTATTATTTCAACCTCTTGAACCTCTTGGAGAAAGCAGTCTCTCACATTTTACAATCTTCAGCAAAAGAACTGAAAGTACAAAATACAGAGTTATTTAAGTCAAAGATTTTATGGAAAAATTCTTTCGTTCAAAGAATATCTTGGATTTGCCTGCTACCATACAACTTGGCAAAATATGGTGCTTACATCAACAACTGAAATGCTCAAGCGAAAGGAAAATTTCAAGCGTTCCGGTATTTAAACAAGATCCACAAAAACCCGGTAAGTGCATTACGGTTATTCAAAACATATTATAACTAAGCTAGTAAATTCAAGTGCGTAAGTGTGCTTCATATTCCATATTGTGCACACTCATGACGTCAGCAAACAAAAATCCCTCGAGAAAAAAATCTTTCCATCGGGTTGAAAATGTTATGAAACAATTGGTTCATAAATCAGCTGTGCGTTCAGCGAGATATGAATCGTTTGGGAAGTTTGCCTGGAGCAACTCTTACGCATCTTTCGTGCTCTCGAAACTTCCCGCGTACCTCATATCTCGATGAACGCACGCTGACGTATGGACCTATTGTTAAATGATTAAGACTGCATTTTTTCTCAGTAAAGACTAAAGAAAAATAGCTCAAGAAAGCTCAAAAGTCACCATTTTAACTGGTTTTCCGGAATAGATGCTTTACTTTTTTCGGCATTGATACATGTTTGGTTTTCCTTCGCGATGCTTCTTTGGTTTTCCTCGATAAGAATTGTCGTTTGGCTTTCTTCCCTCTTCACTGACTTTTTGTTTTTTTCTTCAGTGCGTATTCTCGTACTTTTGAGTGTGGGGGGTTTCCTCAAATTTTCTAAAAATTTTAATTTTAATTAAAAATTTGGCAGACATTCATTTTCAACATATTTGCATATTTTTGTAAAATACATTTTATATTCCTCATCCATTGTAGCAATGTCTATGTGCCTGAGTGGATTTAGACTCTAAAGCGAACTTTCCTGGTGAACGTTTGATTGCTAAAATGACCCAGTCCCAGCTGGTGGACATACCTCAATGCTGAATCTTCCAAAGGGAATTACACAGAAATTAAGTATCTGGAATAAGTTGTGCTTAAATTCTGGGATTCTGAACGGATAAATCATCATGTTCACAAGTGAATTGCTAAACTGTAAAAATTTGATAATAAATACAGTCAGTTCAATAAGGTGAAAATTTTGTGTGACTTTCAATGCAAACAAAATATTTAGAATTTGAAAAGGAAGCCAGGTAAAAAGCGATGTTCCTGCTATGAGAACTAGTGTCTTCGCCAATTTCACTTCTCTTTTGATGTGATTCTGGTCGCGAAATGGCGTTTTCTGCTTCTTCCAAATAACAAAGTTTGCTACACATATAGTTATTAGTAGTAAATATTGCCGCTATGATCCACGGTATGCTAATAGCGCAGATGTAAACACGATAGTTCAGAGTTCTGTGACGAAGAGGCCAACCGACGGCGCACATTCTTTCCAAGGAAATGAACGCAAGAGTGTAGATGGACGTTGTGCCAGTGAAAACGTCAGCACCGATGGAAACTACGTACCATGTATATCCCTGTGATACAACTGCTTTTATATAAAAAGGGACAGCAAAAATTCCCACCAGCAAATCAGCAACTGCCAAGCTTATGAGAAGTGAGTAAGAGCGTTTTTGGCGTCTCTGTTTGAAGAATATCCAGATGGTGAGAATATTTCCTACAATGATCAAAGTCACCAATACACCAAAACATATACCCCAGAAGATGTTCCATGAGTTAAAATCCATTTTACTGGGCACTTTTTTTTTTGACCTGCCATGAAAACAAACCTTTGCCAGTAAATCTGAACGGTAGAAAATTTTTGGGAGCAAAAATACCTTAGTAAACGAGCATTTAGTATTTTTTTAAACTATATTCTTTTGTGTAATTTAGAAACAAGTTAGAAATACTTTTTACATCGTTAAACAAATAAATCAAACAGTGGAACGCGGTTAGCGCCGAAAACTGACCCCATTTGCACGGGCCTTAGTTTTGGCCTCTGCGTTGTTCCAAATAGCAATATGTATGTTTATATTTTTTTGAAACACGAAAAGGATGATGTTGAAGCTGTCAACTTCAAGGCTTCTCTCGAAGTGGATCTCATTAACGTCTAGTTCCTTTAAGCATCACGCAAGTTTTATTACACAAATACACCAGCTTGCTTTTCTAGAACATACACATTCTGTAGCAAAAAAATACATTAAATTTTGATGACTCATTCTTCATCTGCTTACCTTTTGTAGAATGGTTAAAATGTAAAATCTTCTGGATGTATTCTTGACTCTGGTGCAGCAGGGAACTGTTAAACTGAGCTGACTGTAAAACAAAACTGAGAAAAGCAAATTGTCAATTAAGAAAAATTAATGTTCGCTTTGAGAAAATTCAAGGGGGACGTCAATAAGGTTGATTGCTATGCTTACAGATGTGAGCAAGCTGTCACTTCTCTACAATAGCATGCTCAAATATTGATTAAATGCAGTGGTCATTAAAATATCATGCTGATTACAAGCTCTTTTAACTTGTTCAGCAATGAGCTAAAGCTATGGTTTTTTGGGCGGGTAGTTCAATCAATTGTTTGAGGCTTATCAACAGCGGCCTCAGAAAAAAAAAACTTTCGGAATTAAACAATGGAAGAAAATTAACAAAAATAGCATGCTCAAATATTGATTAAATGCAGTGGTCATTAAAACATCATGCTGATTACAGGCTCTTTTAACTTGTTCAGCAATGAGCCAAAGCTATGGTTTTTGGGCGGTTAGTTCAATCAATTGTTTGAGGCTTATCAACAGCGGCCTCAGAAAAAAAAAAACTTTCGGAATTTAACAATGGAAGAAAATTAACAAAAAATTCAATGGAAGACATAAAAAGCAACTGCTGTCTCGCAAAAAAAGCGAAAACAGTTGAAACTTTCAGGGAATCTATAAAAAAAATATATATAAAACTAGGGTAAGAGAAAACTCGAGACTTTTCGAACATGAATATTATTCAAGTACTGGCAACCCTGTTAACTTACCATTCTATTTTGAGCTCACCGACAAAGGTTATACGCTTTTAAAACACCGTGAATTATTGGCTTGCGTGGTTGATTGTAACTCGTTTGAGACCGCTTGCTTCCTAAAAGATCTTCAACTATTGCTAATCGACACACCGACACAGCGGCAAAATGAATGCACTTTCTCGGTGGATAAGGCACGTTCGTTCCACTTCGTTGCTAATGATCATTACGACGCTGTACATGCGCAGACGTCTGACGCTGTGTCTACGCTGTCGCTGCTGTGTCGAAAACGCCAGCAAACTTTACACTTTAGGCTCAGGGTGACTGAAGCCAAAAAATATGGCGGCTACAACACCCAAATAATAATTCGCGCGAATCATCGATGGCTAGCGTTGTCAATGATCGATAATAACTTTATTATTTAGGACCGATGGGAAGTGGAGCCTCTATAACAACAGGAAAGGTAAAAAACCCATGTAAGGTCAAACAGTAAAAAAACAGTGATTGAAAACAAATCCTACTCTGAAGAGCGTCACAATAAACTTTCCCGAGATGAAAAGTCCTCCGACGGAAATGTCAAAGATGTATCTAACACGACCACCATAGAAGGAAAACCCGTGACTAATCGTTTTCCTGCAGACAATGAAAAAAAAGCTAAAGATGTTGGTGAAAAAAATATACTTATATCTCTGTTCTGCAAGAATAATCCTCAATTGAAACACGATTGAGTTCCACAAATATGCATTACCAGTCCTTGAATAAAGCTTTTCATGATGGAAATCTTTGACAGAAGCGGCACTTGAACATGCTAAAGCTTTAACTGATGTTTTATTAAAGTGTTGGAAAAGATCCAACAAATTTGTTGAGACAGATTTTGCTTTGGCTGTGGGAGTAGCATAAACTTGTTTACGATATAATTGTTGATCGTAGAAGTAATTACTCAGAGATAATAACTTGGGATAGGAATGTTCGCAAGGATACGGAGAAAGAAGACAAGGCAATCAGGAGGAGGCAAATGACGACACTCTTGCCAGTGATGAGAACATGGTGAATTTAGAACTATTAATAATAGCTAAGAAGTTGACAACTTAGTTCTATTAATGATCCATTTAGAGGCAGAGTACACATATCAGCTTCACAAAGACGTCATCCCTATGATGATGGATGATAAATACAGACCTGATGGTTGGCTCAGCTTCATTGTGGGATCCAAATTCTGGATTGACCTCAGTGAAAAACATAAACTGAACTCTAATGTGACCAAACTTGTGAAAAAACTAAATTGAATCTAACTTCAGTACAGTGAAACGTATGGTTAAACCAAAATTGCTTTACTAGGTCGTTTGAGTTACCGCAGTGCGCATGTTTTCCTGTGCTCTAATGAGTGCGGTCTTCATACCTGATTGTGGGTTTATCTACCGATCATTCGCTCTTTATCGACATTTCTCATGTTTCTGTAGTGATTTTAGTAGGTGACCTTCCTCTTATGAGTGCTCCGCTTCTAATGTGTGGTATTGCAAAAAAAGTTTCCATCTCTTTCTCAATTTACAGGGCTCATCTAATAACAATGAGATAGACCATGTGTATTTAACCTTCCTTGTCTCGATTGCTATTTTCATGCAAACCACAAAAGGAAAGAATGGAAAAGAAAGATTACAATAAGAAGAATGTATCCAGCAAAAATGAACCCTTTTTTTTTTACTAAATCTGCGACTTCATGATCACTCGTTATCTTTGGTAATTATCCGTCAGATGCCCTGACATTTTTAACTTCTTAACTTTTATCTTTTTTTATGTAGCCACAGTTATGGATGTTGTTTGCGCCTCGCCGCAGTCTACCATCAGATCGCGGACGTGTAGTGAAAACTTGGCTTAAGAATGTTGAACTGAAAGACAGGTTAGTAGTACAATGTTTTTTGTTCTTATCCAGATTCCCAAAGCGTAAAGTGATGTTAAGTATTGCTACTCTCCCCTGGAAAAATTAAATGGGTTGGCATACCACAACAGCCTGCCCCCAGGCATCACGTCAGGTTTCGACAAGCTCCTTCCTTTAAAAATACCTTAGTAAACGAGCATTTAGTATTTTTTTAAACGATACTCTTTCGTGTAATGTAGAATCAAGTTAGAAATACTTTTTATATCGTTAAACAAATGAATCAAACAGTCCTAAAACAAGAAACGTTTAGTTCAGTAGGGAGAGGGTCCCCGTAGGACTGAAAGTGTACGGATCAGACTGCTGTAACATGTCTCTAGCTCTGATTTAGAAACTTTTTTACGGTAACCAGTTTCCATGATCAATTTAATTCAGCGGTTAATTGTAAATTATCTAACTAAAATATGTGGTTTCCTCATATTCAAAAGTTGAAACGACAAGGGGACGAGACATCTGTGAGAACCAATTTGTCTCACTAACGTTATACAAAAACAAACAAATCAATAATTCACAATGTTCAACACGACTTCTATGCTCTTAACTAAGTTACGAGCCTACACAATTTTGGTTTTTGATGAAATTTAAAACACAAAGTTTTCACTTTTACAGTGTAACTTGTTTCAACATGACAGCGGTAGTTTCTTATAACTTCCAGAAGGCTTTTTCCCCGGAAAGTAGAACGCGGTTGGCGCCAGAAACTGACCCCATTTGCACGTGCCTTAGTTTCGACCTCTGTGTTGTTCCAAATAGCAATATATATTCTTATATTTTTTCTCTATCAAACACAAAAAGGAGTATAATGAAGCTGTCAACTTCAAGGCTTCTCTCGAAGTGGATCTTATCAACGTCTAGTTCCTTTAAGCATCATGCAAGTTTTATTATACAAATACACCAGCTTGCTTTTCTAGAACATACACATTCTGTAGCAAGAAAGTACTTTGAATTTTGATGACTCATTCTTCATCTGCTTACCTTTTGTAGAATGGTTAAAATGCAAAATCTTCTGGATGTATTCTTGACTCTTGTGCAGCAGGGAACTGTCCTGTTAAGCTGACTGTAAAACGAAATTGAGAAAAGCAAATTGTCAGGATAAAGTTCGCTTTGAGAATTGTCAATTAAGAAAAATTGATGTTCGCTTTGAGAAAATTCAAGGGGGACGTCAATAAAATTGATTGCTAGCTTACAAATGTGAACAAGCTGTCACTTCTTTACAATAGCGTGCTCAATTATTGACTAAAGGAAGAGGCTATTAAAACGTCATGTTAAATATAGGCCCTTTTAATTCGTCCAGCTGTTTTTGTCAGCTACTTTGGTTTTTAAGAATAGCGTGCTCAATTATTGACCAAAGGAAGAGGCTATTAAAACGTCATGTTAAATATAGGCCCTTTTAATTCGTCCAGCTGTTTTTGTCAGCTACTATGGTTTTTAAGAATAGCGCGCTCAATTATTGACTAAAGGAAGAGGCTATTAAATAAAATTGATTGCTAGCTTACAAATGTGAACAAGCTGTCACTTCTTTACAATAGCGTGCTCAATTATTGACTAAAGGAAGAAGCTATTAAAACGTCATGTTAAATATAGGCCCTTTTAATTCGTCCAGCTGTTTTTGTCTGCTACTATGGTTTTTAGGGGGGGGGAGGGTAGAAAAAATTTTAACTTGATTCTAAATTACAAAAGAGAGTATCGTTTACAAAAATACTTAATGCTCGTTGGCTAAAGGTTTTTTCGCTCCCACAAATTTTCTACCCTTCAGATTTTATATTTACTACTTCAGTGGTGTTACGGAAACTCAATATGATAGGGAGGGAGAATTACTTGTATTATCTTGTTTTAATTCCTGGAATCCCTCTGATAACTATATGTGTAGCAAACGTTGTTGTTTGGAAGAAGCAGAAAACGCCATTTTGCAACCAGAATCATATCAAAAGGGAAGTGAAATTGGCGAAGACGCTAGCTCTCTTAACAGGAATATCGCTTTTTACCTGGCTTCCTATTCAAATTTTAAATATTTTGTTTGAATTGAAAGTCACGGAAAATTTTCACCTTCTTCAATTAACAGTATTCATAATAAAAATTCTACAGTTAAGCAATTCACTTGTAAACGTGTTAACTTATCCGTTCAGAATCCCAAAATTTAAGCGCTTTTTATTATAGATGCTTAATTTCTGTGTAATTCCCTTTGGAAGATCCAGCAATGAGGTATCTCCATCAGCTGGGACCGGGTCATTTTCACCATCCAACGTTCACCAGGAAACTTCGCTTTAGAGTCTTAATCCAGTCAGGCAAATAGACATTGCTTCAATGGATGAGGAATATAAAATGTATTTGAACAAATTTACTGAAAATGAATGTCTGCCAAATCTTTAATTGAAATTGAAATTTTGTGAAAATTTGAGGAAACCTCTCACACTCGGGAAATTCGTAATTACCCCGCAGTCACTTTTCCAAACATGAACGACTTCAGTGCTGAGTACTTAAAGGATCTTATAATAACACAAAGAAAAACACACTCCGAGGTGAACTTATCGCTAAAAGAAAGATTTCTCGACAAGAAAGGCTTTAGTTCGAGGTCAGTTTGGAGGTTTTGTTTTAAGAATGAGATAAATTTACACAACCGCCTGTCAAATGATGAGCTTGAACGGTGCACGTGGGACGTCGTTGCTCGGGTAGGTATAGGTTTATTAGATGTAAGTGCTTGTTGTTATTTTATTCGTTTTTTTCTATCTTCATTTCCTTGTTTGTATAGCCGTCTATATGAGCACCCTTCAAGGTTCAAAATAATTTTTCGGCTTTACCGTGAATTTGTAGGCTTTTGTCAAAGCTAATTTTTTCCGGCTGTCAATAATAAATGAGCAGTCAGCACATGTCTTCAACACTCAACATAATTTATTAACAGTACTGAAAGGAATTAAACATTGAATGCGTTCGTAACAGCATCAGAATCTTTATTTTGGTCAACATGTTTTATTGCGGTAATTTCCTTTTTAACAAAGCGTATTGAACGGCTAAATCAGTTTTCGGTGGTTTTTCAAGCGTGATCACCAACTCTAGAGGTGAATCGTTGAATACATCTCTTGCCCTGGACTGGACGTAAACCACATTAGCGGTTTCTTCAAAAATATATCTGCCACTAGTTCTTGGAACGTAGGAGGTCCCTTCACATTCTTGTGTGTTATATTTCCGCAGGAATAATCGTTGCAAGAGCGCCACCTTTTCGTCTTGCATTACAGAAAAATGGTGGCCTCGAAGAACTTGCTTGAGAGCCAGTAAGGGAGCCACCATAAGTTAACAATTGACTTAATTGATTTTGAAAAATCCGAATGTAAATTCAATGTGTATTGCCTGAAAAGCTCGAAAAAGCCTCAAAACTGTCATATCCCCCTCTGCTATTCGTAATTTAAACACCTTTCCGTTCCTAGTCAAATCAAAGGTTATATTGCTCGCCATGATGTCGGCGAACGGACAGTCCAAAAGTGCGCGAAACTCTCACTTCCTTCGCAGACTCCAGGCGGGCCATTGGGGAGAGGGTGGTATCAGAAATCTACCCCCTCTCTCTCCCTCACCATCATTCCAGCCCTGTTTTACAGTATGGCGTCTGAAAAGTCAATATGGCTACATCACCCGCTCCAACCCGCTCCAATACGAAGTCTAAGATCTTTTTAACTCCTTAGCTAAAGGCTGCTCGCTGTAATGGACAGAACTGAGGAAGACGCTCCAAAACGTCGTGAAAGACCGCGAAGAGACAATTAAACTCTCACTTCCTTCCCAGACCCCTTAAGCAAGGAAGCGGACCTGGCCATGCGGAGAGGGTGCTGAGGGCAAAAATTACCGGGCGAATGGACCCCTCCCCCTCCCTCTTGGGTAGTTCTGTCAAAGATTTTGAATGTTTTGGGCGAAAAACAAAAATTGAAAATTGATTGCAATTTTCAATTTTCGATTTTTACACTTCCGCCGAAAACAGAAAAACTAAGCCATGCCACGAATGACACACGGACCACCACCAACTCCCCCCTCCCTCTTGGGTAGTTCTGTCCACGATTTTGAATGTTTTGGCCGAAAAACACTTTCACCGAAAACAGAAAAACTAAGCATAGCACAGACTGCAACATTGTCGGAAAAGCAACATCGCCGCTTAGTTTCATTTTTCTCCTCATTGTTGACAGGATAAGACTAAACATGTAAGTTATGTTTCAATATTCTATCACAAGGAAAAAAAGTCCAAAATTTTCGATTTGGCACTTTCGTATTTTTCATGATAAAAAATAACGATAATCAAAAATTGACATCAATTTTCAATTTTTGATTTTAAACGAAAATTGAATAGACGAATGACACACGGAGAACAGAAAAACTAAGCCTAACACAGACTGCAACATTGTCGGAAAAGCAACATTGCCGCTCAGTTTCATTTTTTTCTTTATTGTTGACAAGATTAAAGTAAAAATATAAGTTATGTTTCAATATTCTATCAAAAGGTAAAAAAGTCCACAATTTCGATTTGGCACTTCCGTATTTTTTATGATAAAAACTAACAAAAATCAAAAATTGACATCAGTTTTCAATTTTTGATTTTAAGTGAAAATTGAATGGACAAATGACACACGGACCACGGTATCGGTGTTTGGAGTTTACCATCTTGAAACGTACGTGACCAATATTTGGTAAAACCACAATAAATTACTCGCTGGAGTTCAGGATCAAAATATTACGTTCCTCACAAATGACTATAAAACAAAATTTAGACAAATAGCTGTCTCTGAATCAGTAAGAATTAGTCACGGGCAGCATTTACCTCCAAAGTTTTTTTCAGTATGTGCTTTTACTGTATGCACGGGATCTCAATATGTCTCGTCTGACATGTAATGCGTTATTTGTCTCGTTTATGCAGATTCCACTTCGTGGGAGCCACTTTCGGTCCGCATGAATTGATTAGGAATTTAAAACATTTCTCTACCAGTACTGTAATATTAATTCGCCGAAAACTCTTCACTTGCCCTTCAGGCAGGTTAACCACAGAATCCACTAGCCCGATCGCAAAATCCACTAGCCTGGGCTATCGGACACGATTTTCTTTGCACGCTACATCAGATCGTGGACTTGTAGTGATGTGAAAACCTGGCGCAAGAATATTGGACTGAAAGACAGTTCAGTAGTACAGTATTTTTTATTCTTATCCCGATTCCCAAAGCGTAAAGTGATGTTAAGTATTGCAACTCTACCCAGAGAAATATGAAATGAGATGGCATACCACAACAGCCTGCCCTTAGGTATTACGTCAGATTTCAACAACCTCCTTCCCAGGCTCTTTTCTCTTAATTCTTCGGAGCTTGGAACAGGCTGAGTTTTCGCTTTTATTTCTCGCTTTTGCCAATTTGATAAAGGGACACTATGAAGCAAATCAGCGGTTTAGCTTTCAAAATAATTTATATTTTCGGTTGGATTCCAACACTTTAAAAATGTTAAATGGTCACATTTTGTTACGTCTGCAAGATCTTAGAAGAGAGGTAGGGGTTGTGTGTTCCTGAGCACGTAGAAGACTGCATATATATACATTTTACATTCCACACCTATTGTAGCAATGTCTATGTGCCTGAGCGGTTTAAGACCCTAAAGCTAACTTTCCCGTTGAACGTTTGATAGAGAAAATGTCGAATTTGTAAACGTTAACAAGGACACAACTGACCCAATCCTGGCTGATGGATATGTCTCAGTATTTGTTCTTCTGAAGGGAATCACACAGAAATTAAGTATCTGGAATAAGGTGTGCTTAAATTCTGGGATTCTGAACGGATAAATTATCACGTTCACAAATGAATTGCTAAACTGCAAAAATTTGATAATAAATAGTGTTAATGGAAATGGGTGAAAATTTTCCGTGACTTTCAATATAAACAAAATATTTAGAATTTGAAAAGGAAGCCAGGTAAAAAGCGATATTCCTGTTAAGAGAGCTAGCGTTTTCGCCAATTTGACTTCTCTTTTGATATGATTCTGGTCGCGAAATGGCGATTTCTGCTTCTTCCAAATAACAAAGTTTGCTACACATATAGCTATCAGAGGGATCCCGGGAATTAAAACATGATAATAAAAGAAATACTCCCTCCCTATTATATTAAATATCTGTAACACCACTAAAGTAGTAAATATTGCCGCTATGATCCACGGTATGCTGATAGTGCAGACGTAAACACGATAGTTCACAGTTCTGTGACGAAGAGGCCAACCGACGGCGAACATTCTCTCCAAGGAAATGACTGCAAGAGTGTAGATGGACGTTGTGCCTGTGAAAACGTCAGCACCGATGGAAATAACAAACCATGTATATCCCTGTGATACAACTGCTTTTATATAAAAAGGGACAGCAAAAATTCCCACCAGCAAATCAGCAACTGCCAAGCTTATGAGAAGAGAGTAAGAGCGTTTTTGGCGTCTCTGTTTGAAGAATATCCAGATGGTGAGAATATTTCCTACAATGATCAAAGTCACCAATACACCAAAACATATATCCCAGAAGATGTTCCATGAGTTAAAATCCATTTTACTGGGTACTGTTTTTCTTTTGACCTGCCATGAAAACAAACCTTTGCCAGTAAATCTGAACGGTAGAAAATTTTTGGAAGCAAAAATACCTTAGTAAACGAGCATTTAGTATTTTTTTAAACTATATTCTTTTGTGTAATTTAGAAACAAGTTAGAAATACTTTTTACATCGTTAAACAAATAAATCAAACAGTGGAACGCGGTTGGCGCCAGAAACTGACCCCTTTTGCACGGGCCTTAGTTTTGGCCTCTGTGTTGTTCCAAATAGCAATATGTATGTTTATATTTTTTTGAAACACGAAAAGGATGATGTTGAAGCTGTCAACTTCAAGGCTTCTCTCGAAGTGGATATCATTTACGTCTAGTTCCTTTAAGCATCACGCAAGTTTTATTATACAAATACACCAGCTTGCTTTTCTAGAACATACACATTCTGTAGCAAGAAAGTACATTAAATTTTGATGACTCATTCTTCATCTGCTTACCTTTTGTAGAATGGTTAAAATGTAAAATCTTCTGGATGTATTCTTGACTCTGGTGCAGTAGGGAACTGTTAAACTGAGCTGACTGTAAAACAAAACTGAGAAAAGCAAATTGTCAATTAAGAAAAATTGATGTTCGCTTTGAGAAAATTCAAGGGGGACGTCAATAAGGTTGATTGCTATGCTTACAGATGTGAGCAAGCTGTCACTTCTCTACAATAGCATGCTCAAATATTGATTGAATGCAGTGGTCATTAAAACATCATGCTGATTACAAGCTCTTTTAACTTGTTCAGCAATGAGCTAAAGCTGGTTTTTGGGCGGGTAGTTCAATCAATTGTTTGAGGCTTATCAACAGCGGCCTCAGAAAAAAAAAAACTTTCGGAATTTAACAATGGAAGAAAATTAACAAAAATAGCATGCTCAAATATTGATTAAATGCAGTGGTCATTAAAACATCATGCTGATTACAGGCTCTTTTAACTTGTTCAGCAATGAGCTAAAGCTATGGTTTTTGGGCGGGTAGTTCAATCAATTGTTTGAGGCTTATCAACAGCGGCCTCAGAAAAAAAAAACTTTCGGAATTTAACAATGGAAGAAAATTAACAAAAAATTCATTGGAAGACATAAAAAGCGACTGCTGTCTCGCAAAAAAAGCGAAAACAGTTGAAACTTTCAGGGAATCTATAAAAAAATAATAAATAAAACTAGGGTAAGAGAAAACTCGAGACTTTTCGAACATGAATAGTATTTAAGTACTGGCAACCCTGTTAACTTACCATTCTATTTTGAGCACACCGACAAAGGTTATACGCTTTTAAAACACCGTGAATTATTGGCTTGCGTGGTTGATTGTTACTCGTTTGAGACCGCTTGCTTCCTAAAAGATCTTCAACTATTGCTAATCGACACACCGACACAGCGGCAAAATGAATGCACTTGCTCGGTGGATAAGGCACGTTCGTTCCACTTCGTTGCTAATGATCATTACGACGCTGTACATGCGCAGACGTCTGACGCTGTGTCTACGCTGTCGCTGCTGTGTCGAAAACGCCAGCAAACTTTACACTTTAGGCTCAGGGTGACTGAAGCCAAACAATATGGCGGCTACAACACCCAAATAATAATTCGCGCGAATCATCGGTGGCTAGCGTTGTCAATGATCGATAATAACTTTATTATTTAGGACCGATGGGAAGTGGAGCCTCTATAACAACAGGAAAGGTAAAAAACCCATGTAAGGTCAAACAGTAAACAAACAGTGATTGAAAACAAATCCCACTCTGAAGAGCGTCACAATAAACTTTCCCGAGATGAAAAGTCCTCCGACGGAAATGTCAAAGATGTATCTAACACGACCACCATAGAAGGAAAACCCGTGACTAATCGTTTTCCTGCAGACAATGAAAAAAAAGCTAAAGATGTTGGACAAAAAAAAATATACTTATATCTCTGTGCTGCAAGAATAATCCTCAATTGAAACACGATTGAGTTCCACAAATATGCATTACCAGTCCTTGAATAAAGCTTTTCACGATGGAAATCTTTGACAGAAGCGGCACTTGAACATGCTAAAGCTTTAACTGATGTTTTATTAAAGTGTTGGAAAAGATCTAACAAATCTGTTGAGACAGATTTTGCTTTGGCTGTGGGAGTAGCATAAACTTGTTTACGATATAATTGTTGATCATAGAAGTAATTACTCAGAGATAATAACTTGGGATAGGAATGTTCGCAAGGATACGGAGAAAGAAGACAAGGCAATCAGGAGGAGGCAAATAACGACACTCTTGCCAGTGATGAGAACATGGTGAATTTAGAACTATTAATAATAGCTAAGATTTTGACAACTTAGTTCTATTAATGATCTATTTAGAGGCAGAGTACACATATCAGCTTCACAAAGACGTCATCCCTATGATGATGGATGATAAATACAGACCTGATGGTTGGCTCAGCTTCATTGTGGGATCCAAATTCTGGATTGACCTCAGTGAAAAACATAAACTGGACTCTAATGTGACCAAACTTGTGAAAAAACTAAATTGAATCTAACTTCAGTACAGTGAAACGTATGGTTAAACCAAAATTGCTTTACTAGGTCGTTTGAGTTACCGCAGTCCGCAAAACGAAGTAAAACAAAACTGAGAAAAGCAAATTGTCAATTAAGAAAAATTGATGTTCGCTTTGAGAAAATTCAAGGGAGACGTCAATAAGATTGATTGCTATGCTTACAGATGTGAGCAAGCTATCACTTCTCTACAATAGCATGCTCAAATATTGATTAAATGCAGTGGTCATTACAACATCATGCTGAATACAGGCTCTTTTAACTTGTCCAGCAATGAGCTAAAGCTTGGTGTAGCTGATTTCTGTCGGCTTATATAGTTTTTGGGCGGGTAGTTCAATCAATTGTCTGAGGCTTATCAACAGCGGCCTCAGACAAAAAAAACTTTCGGAATTTAACAATGGACGAAAATTAACAAATTGATGCTAATATCCAGCATTATGAAGAGACATTTTCCCAGTGACTAATTTGAATGGTGCCATCTTTGCTTCATTTCTAGAAATAAAGTCAAAGAACTTGCCTGAAAGAATGATCTAGTCGTTCAAATAAAACGAGCTGAAAGAGTCGTTTGAATGGATCGAAATTTTTTAAAATTTTCTTTTCTCCCAAGTACGCAGAATTCTTAACTCGTACAAACAGATAATCGAAGCGTTCGAAACGATCCTTAAAATTCTTCGTACGGGTTTCATTTCTTTTTGAACGTGGAAAAAATAGCTACTCTAGACAGTTCACAAGCCTTATCAGACCAAAATTTGACGGGACAAAATCGGAAGAAAAAGAACAACATTTAACTATTCCAGTTTTCTGACAAGGCTTTTTATCGCTAGAAAAGGGCATATCTGGAGCGGAAATGGAGCTCATTTACTTCAATTTTAAACAGTATGCTCGAAGGCTAACGGCTGGTCAGGTACAAAAATAGTCCTACCTTCTCGATGAAGTCTGGGAGCATGTGTCAAGAATCAGTGAAAAACTTTGCGAAAAACTAAAACCACGTATCTAGTTAAATTGAATCTATAGCCGCTACAGTATGAACAGTAAGCACAAAATCCAACCTGGTAACGAGGCTGGGCCTTAAAATGACGCAGCTGTCAAACTTCTGTCGTGTGTAACGGGATTAGTCCTGGCTGGCCACATCCCAGTTTCCCCGCGCAGAATTTCAAGGGATAACAAGAAACAGTCGTTCACAGAATCTTTAAAAGGAAACAAAAAAAGGGAAAAGGAAATCTCGAGACTTTTCAAACATGTAGTTTATTCAAGTACGGGCAACGCTGTTGATTTACCATTCTGTTTTGAGCTCACCGAAAAAGGTTATGCGCTTTTAAAACACCGTTAATTACTGGCTTGTGTGGTTCTTTGCAACTCGTTTGAGACCGCTTGGTTCCTAAAAGAGCGTCAACCGTGATTGCTAATCGACACACCAACACAGCGGCAAAATGGGTTCACGTGCTCGGTGGATAAGGCGCGTTCGTTCCACTTCGTTGCTAGTGATCATTACATCGTTGCACATGCGCAAACGTTTGACCGCTGTGTCCTAGCTGTCGCCGCTCTGTCGAAAACGCCAGTAAACTGTTCATAGGCTTTGGGGTTGGTTGCTCAGTGCGACCGAAGCCAAACAACATGGTGGCTACGATACGTAAATAATAGTTCGCGCGAATCATCGGTGGTTAGTGTTGTCGATAATAAATAATAACCCTATTTTTTATTGACCGATGGGAAGTGGAGCCTTTGCAACAAAAGGAATACTTTTTCATACTATGAAAAGTATGATTTGACCAAAACTGCTCTACCAGGTCGTTTAAGTTAGGATCGTAACCACACTGCACATGTTTTCCTGTGCTCTGGTGAGTGCGGTTTTCATACCTAATTGTGGCTTTATTTACTGATCATCCGCTCTTTATCGACATTTCTCATGCTCCTGTAGTGATTTTAGTTAGTGACCTTCCTCCTCTGAGTGCTCCGCTCCTAATGTGTGGTATTGCAAAAAAGGCACTCCATCTCTTTCTCAATTTACAGGGCTAATTCTTTTACCCTATTTCATCTTCCTTGTCTCGATTGCTATTTTCATGCAAACCACAAAAGGAAAGAATGAATAAGAAAGATTACAATAAGAAGAATGTATCCAGGAACATGGAACTACTTTTTGAGACTAAATCTAAATTTTATGATTTCTCGTTATCCTTGGTAATTATCCCTCAGATGTCCAGACAATTCCAACTCCTAAAGATGAAAACTGATTTACTCTATTTTCTATTTTTTTTTTTCATGTAGCCACAGTTATGGATATTGTTGACGCCTCGCCGCAGTCTACCATCAGATTGTGGACGTGTATTGATGTGAAAACCTGGCCCAAGAATGAAAGACAGGTGAGCAGTACAGTATATATTATTCTTAACCCGATTCCTAAAGCATTAAGTGATGTTAAGTATTGTCACTCTCCCCTGGGAAAATGAAATGATTTGGCAGACCACAACAGCCTGCCCCCAGGTCTTACGTCAGGTTTCAACAAGCTCCTTCCCAGGCTCTCTCCTCTTTGTTCTTTGGAGCTTGGAACGAGGCTTTTTGCTATTGGTGACACTATGGTGGGCACTATACAGCAAAACAGTGTTTTAGCTTTTGCAACAATTTGCTTTTTAGGTTGGATTCCAACACTTTAAGGTTAAAAGGCTAAATAGTCAGATTTTGTTACGTCTGCAAGATCTTAGAAGAGAGGTAGGGGTTGTGCATTCCTAAGCAGGCAGAAGAGTGCATATTATAGATAAAGTCACCGCGAAATGACGACCCTTCTCCCCTCCCCTGACTTTCACATACATCCGCTTATTTAAAATACCCTGATCAAAAATTGTGTCCCTTTTCTGCAACGCTCGAGCCCGTTTGAAACGATTTAGTTTTAACTTAAAGTACCTGGTACCATTATCCCTGTTATATCACTGTTCTAGCGTTATTAGAGACACTAGGCAACGTTGGAACATGTTAGCCGTGTCTGTTTTGGACCGCCATTTCGTGGTTGAAATACTAGTTTTTGATATTTACAATTAAAATTATGTGCACTATGCCTTTTTTGGATGGGAATTAACCTTTGTTCTAATAAATGTTGTTTTCAGGTCATTATTTTGGGGATCAAAGGATTTTGTTTTATATATTTCATATATTATATTCATTTTCGCCCTAAAAGTTGTATAAATTACCTGATCCTAAAGCATTGATTTTCAACCTAAACTCCATTTAGTTCTTGTTCATTGCTCTTGTTCAGATTTGCCTTGTTCAGTGCGCAAGCTCAATGGGTCTAACAAGTCATGTTGTTTTAATTTCAGAGTCCAGAATTCTTCTATTCATTAGTGAGGACAGATTTTAAACTGGACACTGTGTTTGATGTTCTGGAATTTGCAGACGCGTTGGATAAATTAGTGGAGTAGTTTCAGCCTGGGCAGCAAACGATACATATTGTGATGTAACAAGCAGAAACTTGGGATAAAAGCACGTTAGACTAGGAGCAGGCTCTCAAGCGTTCAGATTTACGATTACGTTTGACGTAGGCGTTTGACTTACGATTACGTTTGGATTACGAGCGGCCACGTTTCCAATGGCTCTGATAAACCTTCTAATTTTTCTTGTCTTTTTTGTTATATTGAAAGATGATAGAGTGGTTGACATACGAAACAAGTCCACGCGTTACTTTTCTGGTGAAATTTCTGCCGAATTTGCAGTTGGTTGCGAATTATCAAGGCCTTCAGTTCCACTTGGTTGGAGTAAACAGTCCGCCATTGTCCCAACGACCAGCTGGACTGAAGCAAATGCATCTTTCCGACTGAAAAAAAGGAATTTTGAAAGAGACTGGGACATGCCCAAACGAGCAAAAACAGTGTCTCCAGTTTGATCAGGAGGACAAAGCAAGGTTATTTTAAGAATACATAAGCGAAAACAAAAACAACAGTAGGAAACTATGAAATCTCATAAAGAGTTTGTCACGTGACGATGATGAATCTCGATCTAGTATTGAAAAGTTGATTGATAGCGGCTATGTCATTACAGACAAAACCAGCGCCAAGATTTAAAAGATTGCTGCTCCTGCCATACAACCATCTCTGACTGGACTTTTAGACTTTTAAATCTATGTATATCAAATAAGGTCTTTCCATCTGCCTGGAAAGTAGCTAAAGTAACACCTGTGTTTAAAGGAAATGGAAGCAGATCATGGGTGTCATTCAACTCTCAGAGATGCAAACCTTGGAGTGCCTCAAGGGAGTATACTAGGACCAGTTTTGTTTCTTATATTTGTAAACGATCTACCAAAGATACTGGAACATTCAGGAGCAGACATATAAGCGGATGATACTACTATCGGTATTACTTTTGATTATAGATCAGCACCCGGAGCCTTAAATCAAGTTCTTCAAGCTGATGTTGGTAAAGTTGCACAATGGACCACAGACAATAAAATGGTACTGAACAGGTTCAAAGCTAAAACTATGTTAGTAGCTGGCAAATGTCTGCATAAGAAGACGAGCAGCACCTCACTCACTGTCAATGTCACTTCAGTCGAACTCGAACAAGTCCAGTCTCATTTACTGCTACAAGAAACGGAACAATGATAATAATGATAAAGAACAAGAAAATAGTTATTATCTTGATATGATACATATCGGTAATTCGTCTCTAGAATTTGGAATCATGTGACACAACCAGTCTGACAGAGCATTTAAATGGCCACAAGTTGTAGGGCCACAAATAGTAGGTTACCTGTAAAGTGATTCTAATATGACTCGCAAGATTTGACCTGCTCGTAATAAAATAAGAACATTGAGGAATATTCAACTTACGTGATCGAAAGAAGAAGACCTTCAAATTATTTGTAAAATCTCGAAGCCCACTGCGGAGAAAAAGCATACAATGGTTGTGAAAATATGGTTAACAGTATAAAAGATGACTTTTAATCACACAAAAAGAAAAGCGCCAAAGTGAGGCTTTTTTTTTTAGGTAATTGCGAACGTTTATTTTAAGGTTTGCTGAGTTTTAGTGATTTGTGATCAAAACGTATTTGGAAATTTACCTTGAAAGCAAAGCTAATCCCGCGAGCATTTCGACTTTGATTCATTAAATAATAATAGTACAGTGACTCTGTCCACATGAGGCAAATTGCTTAAGAACACATACATCAATTTACACCGGCAAACTAGTCAAGCAGTCCCTAGTGCTAAAAGCGTTATTAGAATTTTAAAAACTTCTGCATTGATTCTGGTGTTTTATTTATGGTTTAAAGCATAATAACCCTTTTCATTCGGTTTGGATTAGTATCTCTTGCATTATAATTTTCCACTTCAAAGGAATTAGTGTCTGCTGCGAATTTAGGCTTACTCACTGAGAGAATTATCATTTCAAAGGGAAGGGCACATGTAAATAGAAGTAACCCTGAGGAAATTTAATTACATTTTTCCTCAAGAGCTGCGTTTCAATGCAATAACAACAACATTGAAATTACACCTTTCCAATGTCATTTGCATAGTCAGGTAATTACATGATTTCGAGAGTAATTCTGGATAGATCAGCACGAGAAAATTTTTCAGCATTTAACCATTTGCACAATTTGCACAAGCCCATAGGATGAGTGCAACTTGTAGTCTATCACTCTGTTTTCTTCTTCAATTTTTTTTATTTCGTGACATGGCTCGCTGGCTCGGCCACTTGCCTTTGCCGTGTTGCCGGAGTAGTCGGGCATTTCCCTCAAGAACTTGCTTCAAGCTTTAAAACTATCTACCACGAATAATCGAACGCTTTTACTCTTTCTCTGTTAGTCATCGGTTAGCAGTAACCATTACGCGAATGCTATTCCACTCGTAAACTTCCCTGTCTTTCAGATTCATAAGAACTGTTGCGTAAAACTCCTCGAGTATTTTATCCAGGAGCCTCCGATTCACACTTTCATAGCCGCTTTTGAAAGCTCAAGTCTTCCAGACGTTTGGCTAGTGCTATTCCTCTGTTAGGTGGTTATGTTTTTGCATTCTCCCTTAAACATTGAATTAAAACATGTAACTTCCTCCTCACCTTTCCGCCATTTTGTTTTGTCGTGCTCTCGCGTGTTTCCTGTTAATCAATTTCAAACATTTTCACTCAATTTTAATATTTCTACCCTGTTTGGGATTAATTGATTTGTTCTCGCCCAATGAGTATGTTGAAAGTTTTGAATGTATATTATTACGTAACCAACTTATCATCCAAACGACGTTTTTACTTAGATTTTTTTACCTTGTTAGTTTGGGAACTTTCGGTAATTTGGAATAATGAAATACATGCGACAAAAATTCTTATAGTTATAAATATGATAATAATAGTGATAATGATGACGATGATGAGTACTAAAAAATTTTTAATTATACTAAAATTAAGGAAGCCTCCCTGAAACAATTAGATTGTGATCGAAAATATGATGAGTGTGCGATGTACTTCCTAAACAGAGCGAATATGTTCATTAATTTACACTGGAATGTACATGTGACAAAGTAAAACAACATCTTCCAACAACATTGAGTATATTATTATACAAAAAACATCAGAATAAATAAGCTGGCGTGGAGGAAAATCTCGCACACTTTATTATAACATAACCACATCGAAACTGTTATCAATACTTAATGAAAAAAATCATAGGCGTGTTACAGAAGGTCAAAATCAAATGAGTTACAGTTTTCTAACTTGTGGTGAAAACTTCAATTCTGCTAAAACCTATTTAACCAACTTGCGTAGTTCTATAGAAATTACTGCCTGTAGAACTGAATTCTTAGATCTTTAAGAAATATAATCAGCTCTACCATAAAACGCTTCAAAGCTTCAAGTAAGGCCCCTATTTGGCCTGAAACCTAGAAGATGGGCTAATAATCTAGTTCGATTAAAGTTAGAAGCATGCTCCCTCCATCTTCCCTTTCGATGCACAAGTCAGGCCTTTTCAATCATTTTTCATTAATTGGGAAGCCTCAATTCAACTTGATAATCTCCATATCATATGTCATTGATAGGAACAACGTGACCTTGTCTCTGCTGTTGACAACGTATTCTAAATAGAGTAATGAAAGCTCTGCTATAGCCTGATATTTTGATAAGGTAAAATATGGGGTTAATGAGAGAGTTCGCGTGAACTAACAAAATGAAAAAGTCAATTAAACGAAAAGGTGGCGTTACCAAATAGTCAGAGGCTTCCATGACAACCCAGGTTACAAAGTAAAGAAGCCACAATGAAAGAGAAAGAAATGTTACAATGAACAATGTCGTTGTCAGTTTTCTTTCTCTCGTGGCAACGTTATGATGTAGACCATGTGCACCGTAACGAACTTTAACATAAATTGAGGCGTAAGAGATACAGATTACCGTCAAGCAGAAGGCATTAAACGAATTCCATAAGTAGAAGTACTCTACCCTTAATTCTCTATGAGCTATATAAGCCGACGAGATGGCCCCAGCTATAATCCAAGTAACAGCAATCAATGCTTTGTAAATCCACCTCTTTAAAACGCAATGTCTGAATGGCCAGTATGTTGCGTGTAACAGTTCCGAAGAAATGACAATAATATTTGTTAAGGAACAGACAAGGAAAATAAAGACAGCAGCTGATCTAAAGTCAGAAAATCTATATGAATTAAACTTCCAAATTCTACAAATCTGTCCATAAAAGTAAGATAGATCAAATGTAATGACACCTCCCACTAACATATCAGCAACAGCCAGATTTATGACCAGGTAGGCACTATGGTTACGAAGATTGCGATGTTTTATGAAGATAAAAATTGTGATGGCATTGAGAGTTACAGTGGCAAACGAAGCTGCAAAAAAGACAGTGATCCAGGTTATGCATTCGGCTTTGAGAAACATCTTGAACTAACGCCTCTCTTCTCCAGTTCTGCCAATTCAATTACGATTTGAACTGTCAAGGAAAATCGAATAAGAAAATCACGTCAGTAAATGTTTTGAACCTGGGGGTAACATGTGAATAATTATTGTCAGTCGAATGTTCTAAATCCGGTTAGTATAAACTGATGAGTCAGTTTTGTCGTGATGTTATTGCCTTTAAGACTTAAGTGGCGTAGGTCGGTCGTGATCGGTCGGTCGTGATTGGTCAGTCGTGATTGGTCGGTCGTGATTGGTCGGTCTTGATACGTCGGTAGAGTAAGGTCGTTCTGTTAGTTTGGTTTTTAACATTAAAGTGAACGAGTTGTCTGTATGGTGCCGGTAGTGGTTGACACCTGTTGAGGGAAGTCTGCTCTTAGTTACTAAACCAGCTTTCCAGAGTCAGTCCTTGAAAGTAGTTGGTGCTGTAGGTTAGGCATTGCGCAGAGTCCCAGTCAACAGTTTGGTGCGTAAGTCGATGATGCTCACCTTTCTACGTCTCTCACTTGTGTTCAGTCAGCCTTGTTGTGAGGTTTCTGCCAATATCTCCAATGAAGGAGGCGTGGTTTTAGTGTCAATTTGACTTGAAACATCAAATATTCAGGTTCGCCAAAATGAGAATTATGATTATAATGATAGGGTATCCAGTCACCTCGCCACCAAGCAGACTCGCCACCAGCGAACTCGCCACCAAGGAACGATCTCGCCACCAACATACTCGCCACCAAGCGAAGTATTCTCGCCACCAACCACCAATAAAGAGATTAGTCGAGGACAGTAGGATGTTCGGCTGATAAGTCTGTACTCAAACTTTATAAACGTATGTTGTCGAAAGCACGTTCGAAACCGATAAGTTTGTTCGCTTGTCTGTACTCAAACTTTATAAACGTATGTTGTCGAAAGCACGTTCGAAACCGATAAGTTTAGTTTTAATACAACTGCTATCGAGTTTCATTTCATCACTTATTTCTTCCCATGAAGTTTCATTTTCTCTCAAGTAAGTTTTTATTCCTCGCATCGAGTTTTGCAATTTCTCCTCGCTTACGTGCAAAAGACAAACACGATACGTTTCGATGTCAATGAGTTAGGAAAGGAACACATCTAACACGTCGCTGGAGGTCATAATTTAAATACAGACAAGCGCACAAACGTATCGGCCGATTTGAATTGTACTCGTTCGAACATCCTACTCTCCTCGACTACTTTATTCTAGTTTATCTCTTTATTGGTGGTTGGTGGCGAGAAGACTTCGCTTGGTGGCGAGTACGTTGGTGGCGAGATCGTTCCTTGGTGGCGAGTTCGCTGGTGGCGAGTCTGCTTGGTGGCGAGGTGACCGGTAACCAATGATAGTGCTAGTAATGATAATAATAGAAGTAATAATGATGATGATAAAGAAAATGATAATTATAATGATAATGCGAAAATGAAAACCCGTTGCATTCAATTCAGATATTTCGACAAAATTTGCTGCTACACGTGGAACAAAATTTGCTATTTCTGGCCAACGCAAGTCTCTGCTAATTTGTAATGCATTTCCTATTGACAGTTCAGATTACAATTAAACTATCTTTAGTGCGTCAATTAAAGATGTCAAAACAGCGAGACTCGTTTAATTCTCACCTCAAAGGTAAATTAAATGTATATTAATTAATAACCCTCCTTTGTGCCAAAAAGAGACCACTTAAAGGATGCTAAAATATATATGTTATTAAATTTCACCTTATGTTCACTTAAAGATTAATGAAAAGTAGATGTTAGCTTTTGGATATTTCGGTTTAATAGTCGGAGATTGTGTCAACATGAAGCAATTCGCTGAGCGACGCGCATCCATTTCCATGCACCGTCAAACTAATTAGGCAATTTATAGAGCTAGAAGCGTTATTACGATTTTAGCCGGAAAGCTCTGTATTGATGCAGCTGTTTTATTTTTGGTTAAAGCATGAACAACCCCTTTTATTCAGTTTGAATTAGTATTTAGCACTTTTATGGTAAATCAATAGGGTTGCCCGTACTTGAGTAAGCTACATGTTCGAGAAGTCTTTAGATTTCCGTTTCCCTAGTTTTGTTTCCTTTCACAGATTCTGTGAACATTTCTTTTTTTTCGCTTATTCAGGCGAGACAGCGGTTGTTTCTTGTGTTTTCCTTTGATATTTGCGCGGGGAAATTAGGGTGCCGCCTGCCAGAATTGATCTTGTCACGCACGACTGACGTTTGACCGCTGTGTTATTTTAAGGCCCAGCCTCGTTACCATGCTGGATTTTGTGCCTACAGTTTATACCGTAGCGGCTATAGATTCAAGTTACAGAGTCTTGTCAACATAACTAGATACGTGGTTTCTTTTTTTAGCAAAATTTTTCTCTGATTCTTGACATATGCTCCCAGACTACTTGTACCTGACCAGCTTCTAATGGAAGTAAATAGAGCTGTCAACCTTTAAGCAAACCGCCAAAATATAAATGAGCTCGCAAAAATTATGGATTATTTCTTTCTACTTCCGCTATCCACAGAAGAAAGCTGTTCGCCCTTTTAGAGAAGTGCCACTGCTGTTCCTCAACTACTTACATTGGCTGTTGTTGAAAAAGAGCTTGTTTACAGGTGAGATATGACAGGGCAAGCAGCATATGAATACCATATCTTTTTCCGATTTTTAATTGTCTAGAGTAGCTGTTTTTCCCGTGTTCTAAGAGATATGAAATCCGTACGAAGAATTTAAGGATCCTTTCGATTATCTGAATCTATTCGAACGACTTTTTCAGCCCGTTTTAATTTGCTTCTCTCAGTTTCGTTTTACAACCAGCTCAGTTCAACAATTCCCGGCTTCACCAGAGTCAAGAATACATCCAGAATATTATACATTTTAACCTTTAAGTAGATATAAAAGGGGGACGCCGACACACTTTGAAAACAAAGTTGATTTCAAGGCAACTCGTAAATTTACACAAGTGAATAATATTCATAGTGTCTCGCTCGTGAGTTCTGAAGAGGGGTGAGAATATTATCAACGGTTTCTGACGCGTCAGAATTTTTTTTCAAATTAATTTTTTTAAGAGAGGATGTCAGCATCCCTCGAACAAATTTGAAATATTGTGGCAAGTCGCCCAAAATTCGTTTTCACTCCTACTTTTAAATTTTGTAGCCCAATATGTTCTAATAATTGTGGTGTAGTTTTTTTGCGAAAATATATTTTAGTTTTCGAGGAATGACTTTTTTCGTTCGACTGCTCAAATATGCAAATGTTCACCGTGAAAATTACCCGAGCTGGGTGACCTCATCTGGCAAAATTTACTTGACAGCGACTATGAAATATACATGGTGCGCCTACTTGTCGCCACCGTTAACTGGCATAAATTACTACAATTTGTAAAAAAGTCTAACATAACACTCTTACCTTGTTTATTTATGATTTTATTAGCCGTTTCGATTGTTAATATTACGCCTGGGTATTACTTTTTGACAGGAGCCCAGGTTTTGCGTTGTGTTTTCCCTCCCTCATTTATATCATAAGCTAGTCACCCAATAATTGATACCGACACAAATAAATATTTGCCAAGTATAAAGATTTTTGTTTATGTTAAATTGAAAATATTGAAATATGTCCTTTTTTGGTCTCTACTCGTTGTTTCAGCGGTAGCGAAGCAGTTAAAAGCGGGTTGTTGCTTCTACGCTATTGAAATTTATAGTACTCAGATAGGCGAGCAAAGCGTGATGCTCTGCGAATAAAAATTTTTAGGGGCCTTTAACATGATATCCAAATGAGTTTTGTACAAGAACGAGTTCATACCGGTTGCTACATAATAACCAGTGTAAAATTTATTCGAAACGAGTCATTTCTGAGTGAGTTTATTGGGGTTTTCATTACAGAACGAAACACTCATTCTGGACGACCTTTTCTACCTATACAATGTGAACGCTGCACGGCTCTCATATTTATATGGATCCTTTTTGGGAGCGAGGGAAGCATAGAAAAAGACAGGAAAGGACATAAATACTTGTTTTTACAGGCTAATTGTTGCCACTCCCACACGGATAAGACTTAAGTACCTTTTATAATTTTAGAGCGGTCGTTTTCGAAATTCCACGCGTGCACCCCCGCCCTCTTATGTAAAGGGTCCCCCCGGGGGTGCTGATACGTGCAGCACACTTGTCATTTAGCAAGGACAAATTTTTATGTGTTTTTTGGTAGCCTATTGACCAATTCCCACTCGAGACTTAATTTTGCTCACGGTGGTAAGTAGCCTACTTACCGAAGCCAGATTGTACGAATTTTTCAGACATCTTGAGTACTATCTGTGATACACGCTTGCCAATTACCCTATCAACTTTTGGAATCGACTTAACCCTACCTTTACCATGGCCGGACACTTCTTTTGGCAACAACACAACATTCCTCAATAAAGGTTAAAAAAACAACAACAACAACGAGCCATTTCGTTCCAATTCTACCGCGAGTCGTACAGTATACGCAAGTATTAGGTGCGAACAAACTACTGCATTCACTAGCGGATTTGGATCGGGGGGTCCTGCTATGTCGCACATGATGGTCTGCGGTTTTGTTACTATTATACACACGCATACCATGTGCGCCTGTTGTTGAATGTAAACCGCCATGTTTGATTAAACCTTGTTGTGTTGTACTAGTTTGATTCATTCAATTCCGCGAGACACAACAGATTGGCGACGAGGATTTAGATCCTAAGCAGCAACCAGAGAAACTTCGAGCTTTCGTCACTACGCCGTTTGGAAAGATTGAAGTGTTTGACGAAACGAACGACGATTGGAACGCCTATGTGGAACGTATAGATATACTTCATCGCCAACGAAATCAAGAACAACAAGCAAGTGGCCGTAATGCTAAGCTTAATGGGTAACAAAACGTATGGATTACTACGCAATTTGGCCGCCCTAGCCAAGGCGAGACTCGCGTTGAAGGAAGGAAGTCAACCAAAGTTTTGTAAAGCAAGGCCTGTCCCATACGCCATGAAACC